ATTAATTGGAAAACTTGGAAAATGTATGTTGCTGATATTAAAGGGGTTGGTTTTTGATGAAGGGGTGAGTTTTATAAATCGGGAATATTTTTTTTTAAAAGCCCAAAAAAAGACCAAAAATATAGTGTATTTGATTTTTTTTAATTTTAAGTTTTTACATAGTTGAGGTGCTAGCTTGACGTAAGTGGGCAGCCCCACAAAAAAATTAAATTTTTGGAAAAATTTAAAGAGCCCAAAATTTCTTAATAGGGCCTAAAAATAGCCAAAAATAGGGAAGCTTATCAGAATAACCAGGTATCTTAGTTACATTGGCTAGAATCACTTTGACTAATTAAACTTTAGCAAAATTGACTATAGATACATGCGATATTAACCAAACACCTTAGTTAATATAACTAGGAAACAAGAGGTCAAGTCTACTAAATCGACTTTGACAATATTAACCAAGCTACATAACTGAATTGACTAGGATGCTTGGTTACGCTGACTAGATTTAAAGTTGCTATGGTTAATAGTCATTAATGCGAAGCAAATTTTTTTCAGTGTAGACGAAGCCCAACAGCATATCCGGATGATCTAAAATTAATCAATTAAGAACGGACCATATTTTGAGAATAGTGGCGGTAAGACCTAAAAAAACGTATTTTTGACGGTTTTTGAGATTATTTTTTTCTCTTTAACCTAATGTGCTAAAGATTTCTTTAAGATTTTAAATTAAAGCTTTAAAAAAATAGAGAATTTTAAGAAAAGTGAAGGTAAGGATCGTGTTTAGTGGACAAAAAAGTACATTGAAAATCACTACAATGTCAAATAAAAAACCAAACCATTTTAATGGTTCTGAACTTACACTTTTTTCAAAATTCTGTATTTTTTTGTCTTGCGCATACAGGTCTTAAAGTGTATGATTCATACTTCAATTGAAGACCGAACGGAAGTGTCCAACACATCAGGTTAAAGAGAGAAAAAAATCTTGAAAACTCCAAAAACACACTTTTTGAAATCTTCACCCTCTTTTTATCTCAAAATCCTGACGTGCTAGACAATTTTGGAACCCAGGATTGTGTTCGGCGAAAAAAAATATTGTAAACCACTACGATATCAAAAGTAAAAAAAAGTCAAATTTTGCAGGCCTGTGTTATCATTTGACCTAAATCGAATTTACGTAATACATAATTTACATAACATAAGTCTACAAAATAAAACTTTTTTTTTAGATGTCGGAGTGGTTTCCAATGTATTTTTGTGTGCTTAACACGATCCAGGATTACAAAATTGCGTATCATATCAGGATTTTGAGTAAAGTAGGGGTAAAGTCTCCAAGAACCATATTTTTCAGGGTTTTCATTATATTTTTTCTCCTTAACTAAACATGCTAGACACTTTTATGTAGACTTCAATTAAAGCTTAAGTCGCACACTTTAAGACCTATTTCGCAAGATTAAAAATTTTTTTTAATTTTTGAAAAAAATGGGGATAAAGACTCCAAAAACCGTGTTTTTAAGGTAAGTGTTTTCAGTATTTTTTTTCTTCTGAAGCTGACATGCTAGAGACTTCTATATAGGCCTAAATTAAACCTTAATTCGTACACTGTAAGACTCGTTCGCATAAGACAAAAAAAAAAATTTTGAAAAAATTGGGGCAAATACCTTAAAAAATGTGTGTTTGAAGGTTTTCAGTATTTTTTTTCTCCTTAACCTGACGTGCTAGAAACTTTTGTATAGGCTTAAATTAAAGTTTAAAACGTATATTTTAAGACCCATATGCGCATAATACAAAAAATTTTCAAATTTTGAAATAAGTGTAGGTAAAGATCCCCATAAACTTTTTGGGTGACTTGATAAATTGAACGTAATTTCTTTTCAAAATTTCAAATTTTTTTTATCTTGCGCATATTAGTCTTAAAGTGTAAGATATAAGCTTTAATTTAAGCCTATATAGAAGTCTCTATCACGTCAGATTTATGAGAAAAAAATACTAAAAGCCCTCAAAAACACGGTTTTTGGAGACTTTACCCCCACTTTACTCAAAATCCTGACGTGATACGCAATTTTGGAACCCGGGATCGTGTTCAGCACATAAAAATACATTGAAAACGACTCTGACATCTCAAAAAAAAAAAAATTCTTGTTGGCCTGTGTAATTGAATTTATCTAAATACGGAGAAAAATGGAAATGGAACTTTTACTACTTTAAAAGTAAAACCGGAACTGACCACAGTTTCTGCGCATTTCTGTCAATTTTTACTCCAGAAATAGTAAAATTTACTATTTCCGGAATAATTTTTACTATTTCAGGAGTAAACTTTACTATTTTCGGAATCAATTTTACTATTTGTGGTGTAAACATTGACAGAAATGCGCAGAAACTGTAGACAGTTCCGGTTTTACTTTTAAAGTAATAAAAGTTACTTTATCCGTTTTTCAGGGTGTCTAACAAGAATTGAGAAAAAAAATTCCCTGACTTTTCCCTGACTCCTCCCTGACATTTTTTGATTTTTCCCTTATTTTTTAGTAACCTTTTTTGTGCTTTCTTTGGAGAAACATAAGGTTACTGACATATTTAACAATAAATTAATTTCTAATAGTAGTAAAAAATGGTAACAAAAACCATTCAAGTTTTTTTTGATTAAAAAATTTTTAAATGCACAAAAAATTTTAATTTTTGTAGAAATTTCCCTGACTTTGAATGAAATTTTTTGAAATTCCCTGACATTTCCCTGACCAACAAAATTCCCTGACTTCTCTGACCGTTAGACACCCTGGTTTTTTCATTTTTCTCCGTAAAGTAATCTTTATTTGACCTAATTATAATAAGGTTACATAAAAATTAGACGAATTGAAAAGTAACTCAATTGGCGATTAGGATAAATGAGAATTATAGATATCAAATGTAGATTAGTTCACATAAGAATTAGGTGAAATAAAGATTAGTTCAAATTAGAATTACGATTGTGATAATTGAATTTAGGCCAATAAAGCATTAGGGGCCATTCATTAATTACGTAAGGGTCCTTAGGGGGAGGGGGGGTTTATAAAATCTCTACATGGTCTTACGTGGGGGGGTGGGGGGTAGAAGCTAATCTTACGTAAGATTTTGCCAAGTATTTTCCATTTGTATTATGATGTAATTAATTTTTTAATTACATTAATATTGTTAAAAACTTACGTAAGAAGGGGGAGGGGGGGTCCGAAAAATCGTATGTATCCTTACATGGGGGTAGGGGGGCGATTTAAAATTTGGAGAAAATTCGTGCGCCCCTTGAATTTAGTGAAACAAACAAATAGTTTAAGTTTGCAAAACGTGGAAATAGAGTATTTTAATGTGATGTCATCTTCTCTACCAGATGACAATTTTACGCAGATATTTATTTTACCGACACATATATATTCATAACGTTATATTAACCCCTTGGGTGTCGATGACGTGTATACACGTCATGGAATAGGTGGGCTCAAAGTGTCGATGACGTGTATACACGCACATAAATTTTGAGCCCAATAATAAGACGGAATTGGCCTAAAATTTGTTACTCGGGGGTTTTTGGGGTCGCTGCTTCCGAATTTGATGTCAGATTTACAAAATTCAAAATGGCGGATCCAATATGGCGACCAAAAATTTTGAAAATTGACCATATTCGCTTGAAACTCGTTACTCGGGGGTTTTTGGGGTCGCTGATTCCGAATTTGATGTCAGAATAACAAAATTTCAAAATTCAATATGGATACAATAATAATCACACCTATACTATGTTATTTTGAATTTTCAAAATCTGACTTGAATATCGTAAACAGCGACGTTCAAAACCCCTGAGTAACAGATTTTAAGTAATTTTAATTACTTTTTAAATTTTTAGAAAATTATCTGCCACATTGGTAACGCCATTTTGAATTTTTGAAATCTGACTTTAGATTCGTAATCAGCGACCCCAAAAGCCCCCGAGTAACAATTTTTAAGTATTTTTAAATCAGTTTTGCCATTTTTTGAAACATCGTCCGCCATATTGGCTCCGCCATTTTGAATTTAAAAAATCTGACTTTGGAATCGTAATCAGCGACCTTAAATACCATAGTATACACATTTGCACAAATTTTGATCATTCAAAAATTTACTGACATTTTGGGCCCACTTATGAGATTTTGGCCTCGACTGCGAAGGGGTTAAAACACTCTATAGACCTTTTCATGCTGATCATTCTGTTCTCTTCCAACTCATGCGTCATTGTATGCGCTAAATAAGGACAAAACGATCAGCATGAAAATGTCTATTGGCAACTTTGATAATAAAATGTTGTCAGCTAAATATACCTATTTAGACCAATAAAACAATTAGAATTTCGCGCCAAATTTAGGTTAGGTTATTTTATTATACCAGAAGCATGGATTAAAAGTAAAAAAAAATACTAGTCACCTTCAATACGTAACCTGACAATGGAATAAATTAATTTAAAGTAGAAATCAACTCCCAGCTTAAAAAGCGGTTAGATTCCAAAATTTGTGGTTTTCAAATAAAAATCGGATAGGAATTGATGTTAAATAATTAATTAATTGCATACGGGTTTAAACCGATTAAGTCTAACACTTGATATAAGTTCCTCAGAAATCAGTTAGGTAGCGAATTAAAACAGGCATTAATAAATTAATCAAGATAGAATTCGGATAAAATCGTATACAATATTTTTAGTAAATTAAAATTTTTATTTAACAGAAAAAATCCTTAACTTAAACCGGTTAAGCTTGACACAAATTCCATATAGGAACGAGTAAAAACCAACATTGGAAATAATTGATTATTTTAATTTTCTTATCGAATGAAACTCTGATAAAGAATGAATTTTATAATTCTTGACAAATTTAATCAGAAATTTCAAGCATGGACCTATAAGTTTTTTACGTGTCGCTGGAGTCCAAAGTTATAGTTAATGAATAAAAATTGAAATACCGGTTGCCTTAGAAGATAAATTAAATGAACTAAATTTATTTATTTATAACAAAAATACTTACGGTGTATTACGAAGACTATAATCGTTAGCAATAGTTTCAATGCCACCTGCACGTGCAACGGCTACATAACAACTTTCGTTTCCGAAGTCAATTCCAATTACTGACATTGCGGCCATGGTTTTAGATTCAATGAATATTTTATGGTTATGATATTCTTAATCTCAGGATATATTAAAAATAAATAAATGCAATGAAATTAAACAGTTCAATACGTATTTGGAAACTTGAATAATAAACATTAACAACTGACTGATAATTTTTTAAGTTTTACATTCAATCCTTGTATAGCAGGAGAGAGATAACAAAATCGAATTTTATCAAGGTAAACCAAACCGAACCATTCCCGTGGAAGATAGTCGCAATCTATCCACTTTCGTCCAGATTAATTTTCAAGTCAACTAAAATTGCAAGACGTTCTCACATGCAAAGATTTTTAACCAATCATATATTTTACTAAACTTTGATGACTAAACGTTATTGGTCACTTGTACGAACTCACTCCTTCTACTAGAATGTTCTCGAAACAGAAAAATAAAATCTAGCATGGTCTAAACGATCGAGAATCTTGTAGAGGGGATTTTAAAAGAGGACTAAAACCGTTTCTACAGTGAATGGGTTTTAGAAACTAACAATAAGGGCCAACACACAATGGCTTTACGAAAGTCGTCCGCGAACGAAATGAATTTCTGTTCGACAAACAAAAGTTTCCACCTCTGGTTTCTATATTTTGATGTTATATTTAATTTAACTATATGAAGTACGCAAATATATATATACGCCATGTATATTGATAACAATATTTGAAATATTAATAAAAATAAATATAATTATTAATGACATATAGATAAATGTATACAAAAATATTACAGATATATATTTTTTGACATTTAATATAATTATATAAAAATAATAATTATACATTTATATTTATAATTTTACAAAACGATAACTCACTGCTTGTGTTTTACACTTTGCATTGTGCAAAATGCAATATTTTTCTTCAACGTTTACATGCGGAAAGAAAATGATTATGATGTCATAATTCTCGTCAACTACCGCACCCTGCTCTTGTAAAAATTTAGTGAATTTATTGTTAAAATTAAAAGTTAAGGTCAAAGCAGAATAGATTCTTGAACGGAAACGTAAGAATCAGTGAGAGAAGAATAATAGTTATTTATGATACAAGTGCGTACAGTGAGTGATTATACGAGTGATGCAAATCACACGAGTATAATCAGATTTACGCACGTGTATCATACATTTTTTGCAAAACCCACCTATAAAGTTAAGTACCTACATACGAAGAATTCCAACTCTCTATTAGAATAATTTCGATTGTATAGAATTAAATAAATCAATCGAAAATCAGGAAAAAAATCATTAAGTAGCAGTGTATAAATTTAAAAGTAAAGTTCTTTTTTTAATTTTGTGGTTTTGTATGGTCTAAAACAATCCTTATATTATGTGAAAAAAATTTCGGTGCGTAAAGTAAATTTCAGTGTGTAAAGTGAATCACTTTACACACCGTTTTAAAGAGAGCTTCTTTATACACACTTTTCGGTGTGTAAAATATAACTTTAGAGGTTAGTGTTGCAAAAAGATATTTGCTATCCTTCTTTTACTCTTTTTTACGTTTCCGTTTACGATTGCGTCCCCGTTCAAGAATCTATTCTGCTTAGGCCTTTAGTATAAACTCACTAAATTTTCACTCGAGTAGGGTGCGGAAGTTGAAGAGACAGCCCAAGAAGAACTCCTGTTTCTAGTCTTCTTGAGACAGCCAATACCATTAACTCCCGCAAAGGGTACGACTACAGCTCAGCTGTCTAAAGGCGCTTGTATACCTCCAGTATTTTGGTCAAGCAATCAGCTGGATTGGATTTTCACGGTTGTATCAATGAATTTTATTGGCTCTGACAAATATTACATTTTCACCGTGAAAATTGAATTTTGTTAAAGTCAATCAAATTCAGTGATACAACCGTGAAAATTCAATACAGCCGATTGCTTGACCAAAATACTTGAGGTATAAAAGCACCTTTTGTAGAGTCATCATGGTAATGTTCAAGAGTGAGGCCGTTTCCGAATTTGGATTTTTAGCGCACTTTTGACAAAAGTCACAAAGGACTATAAAACAAGGACACTGCATACTTCCCGAGTATACACTTATTTATCAAAAGTGCGACAAAAATCCCAATTCGGAAACGGCCTGACGGAGCATTTACACCTTTGGTAAAAAAATTTTTTATTTTTGAATTTTCCGAAATACACAAACCTGATTGGTTGTTCACAATCTGATTGATAATGGACAACCAATCAGATCTTTGCATTTCCGAAAATAAAAATAAAAAATTTTTTTTACCAAAGGTGTAAATGCTCCATGAGAGTACGGTCACAGCTCAGCTATCTAAGTGGGGTTGTCATGGAAGTATATAAGAATGAGAGACATAAAAACATTCTTTATTTCTCTCACTTTTATACTGTTGTCCTAATGAAGAAAGTCGGTATTCGCATTCAGAGTGATTTTGAGATATTTAAAGAAACGCGTTTTTAACGAGCAACACTAATATTTGAAACATAATAAAATAATTACAATCGATATTAACTAATTTTTGTATGCTTTCTATTCAATGATGCTAAAATTTTTTAGAAATTTTCATTTTTTATAATAAAAAAGTCGATTACTGACAAAAATTGATTCAGAAAACCTGTAAATACTGCTCGAGAGTCGGTATGTACTATTACGACTTGTGTGATGTCACTGTTTTAGAGTCGGTACAGCCTATATTAATATAGAAATTCAAGTACCGAATTTTTGCATGAAAAGTTGGTCTTTCTCCGCCTGAAATCCTTGAGGCAAGAGTCGGTATTCGCGATACTGCTCATCGGCATTAGGCTGCTCGCACAAGAAAAGACGGAGCAGTGTACAGGATGTGTTTCAAATGAGTTAGAAAAGGAAAAAACGATATTCCTGTCTTTTTCTATCTCATTTGAAACACATCCTGCACACTGCTCCGTCTTTTCTTGTGCGAGCAGCCTTAGGATTTCAAGGAAAGTACGTAAATACGTCATCATTTTGAAGCAGTAAGAGCAAATACCGACTATTTTGTCTGCAAGTGCCGAATCTGTAAGAATGACTTCGCCAAAGTTGGATAATTAAAGGCTATTTATCTCCAAACTTAATTAATATTGTTAACTAATATTACTACAGCCAGATTCCTTTTTTCATAACGAATCCAGTGATATAAAAAACTCATTTTTGATAAAAATGTCGATTACCGACTTTCTTCATCAGGACGGCAGTATAAGTTACCATGACGACTCTACTTAGGTAGCTGAGCTGTGGCCGTGCCCTGACAGAAATAAGACCATTCTTCATTTCAAAAATTTCAAAATATTTTTATTCAAAAGTTTCAAAAATTGGCAAAAATGATTTTGCTTTCATGGAATTTATAAAAACATTTAATTAATGATCATTGAATGTTATTTTATCGAAATTGTGGTAATTTTTCTGAATCCTCTGAAATTAAATATTGACGAAACATTCCATAATTAGGACCTTCTCTTTTTATCATTTCCTCTTACAGTAACGTCCAGCGGTACGGTGAGGCTTCTGTCCCAATATGGCGCGAATGCAGAATGCAAAGCAGAAAATCATGAGAGAAATAAAAAATATTCTTATTTCTCTGACTCTTATGGTACGGTCACAGCTCGGCTGTGAGACAGCCGTAAGAGTAATAGAGTAATAGAGACAGACAATTATAGTAAAAGAGACAAAAAATATTTGTGTCTAATACACTTAGGATCCAAAATTTCATTTAAGTGAGATATTAAAAAAATTCGACTTCATCTCGTACATTTGTTATGTTTGTGTGTGCACCGCTTAATCGCCATTTTGGATTTCCCCCCACCCAATTTGAACAACCTAATACGATTTTGTTGAAGTGTGACCGGCCAAATGTTTTTTGCATACATGCACAGTGCATGCATGATGCTGATTCTACACTCACCGAAAACTGAGCGAGCGGTCCGGTTTTCCGTGACGCTTCCTATATTTAACTTTATCTATATATATAATGCTGATTCTACACTCACCTAAAACTGCGCGAGCGGTCCACATTTGCGTTACATTTTTTATATATAAAGATATAATTTAATATGGGAAGCGTCACGGAAAGCGGGCCGATCGCTGAGTTTCAGATGAGTGTAGAATCAGCATAAGCTGAGTCTAGAATGGGCACGTTATAACGTACCGCGTAACGAGACCATTCTAAACTCAGCTTTAGGTGAGTGTAAAAACAGCATGAGATAGTGTAACCGTACCCTCATGATTTACGCTTCCGACTTAAGGCCTTTCTCCAATAGGATCCTAAACTCTTGCATTGCGTCGGTTGCTATTGGCAACCAATGCTAAAGGTGGTTCCAGAATAGGTGCAAAAGCCAAGTACAAGTGCAAGTCCAAGTGCAAATCCCATGAGTGCAAGAGAGATAGATAGACTACCTATCTCTTTCGCACTCATGAGATTGTCACTTGGCCTTGCACTTGTACTTGGCTTTTGCACCTATTCTGGAACCACCTTAAAATCAACGCGTCAGTCACGCAGTGCATACGCAACGCAAGAGTTTAGGATCCTTTTGGAGAAAGGCCTTTAAGGCCTTTCTCCAATATATTCCTAAATGTTTGCGTTGCGTGACTGACGCGTTGATACCAATCGCGAACAAAAAGTTTAGTTTATGTTTCTCTTCTCCCTGTTTCTCAACTTTACAATTTTTAAAGTGCAAATGTTTCTCGACGGCTTTTAATAATTTAATACATATTTATAATTAAAAACTTCAGTGTCTTAAAATCATAAATCAAATTTTTTATTCGCGATTGGTATCAATGCTTTGATGACGTCACTGCGGTTGCAAACCAACGCATCAGTCAATAATAATATTATTTTGATGCCCAGTGACGTCATCAAAGTACTGATATCAATCGCGAACAAAAAGTTTTATTTTTTATAAATATTAAATTATTTAATTATAAAAGGCCGTCGAGAAACATTTGCATTTTAAAAATTGTAAAGTTGGGAAACAGGGAGAAGAGGAACATAAACCAAACTTTTTGTTCGCAATTGGTATCAATGCTTTGATGACGTCACTGCGCATGCGAATCAACGCGTATGTCACGCAACTCAAACATTTAGGAATATATTGGAGAAAGGACTTTAAGGCTAGCGCACAAAAAATTTGCGAATGTCGTTCGAGATGCATGAGATAGAAAAGGATACAAATATATCTCTGTCCTTTCCTAACTCATGTTTCACGTTCGCGAACCTATTCAGCTTAGGCCTTTAGGCTGCAGTCCCATGGCAGCGTTTTGCGTTGCGTTTTGTCACTAGACCCTGAGTGTAAACATAGCAAACATATATCTGCATCTCTTTTACACTCATGGTCTAGTGACAAAACGCAACGCAAAACGCTGCCATGGGACTGCAGCCTTAGGGTACGGTCACAAGGAGGTTCTACAATAGATGCAAGACCAAGTACAAGTACAAGTGCAATTTTATTGTACTTGGATGCGCGCGCAATGTATTGCCAACTGTCGCTGAGGCGCAGTTAAAAATACTGGTTTGCGTCAGTTTCCGTTCTCTTGGTGCCGGCTCTTTAAATTTTTTGTTTAAAATTAAACAACGTGGGATTCAATTTTTAATTATAAATTAAATAAATTAAATATAATTGCTGGTTGCACTTAATTAAGTGAGGTAAGTAATATTAAGAAAATAAATAATATTATTTTGAAAATAAAAAAATTGTGGGTTATGTGTACATAACCTATATGCAGTTTTAAAACATTGAAAGTAATTTTACATTTTTCACAGCGTAATAAAATTGTAATTGTTTAATTAATTAATTGTGTTTTAAATATTTTATATATATATGTATTTATAATTTTTAGTTCGCATTTGTTAAATATATTGACTGCGTTTCAACTGAGGTTCCATGGTATATTGACTCCGTACACTGAGAGAAATGGATAGTAAGAATTTGATAGTAAAAAGAAAGATTGTACAAGGTACTATCATTGTGCGAATCTACTATCAACATTTTACTATCCAAGATGTTACCCAAAGACGTAAAATATGTTAGCTTTTGGATTGTAGTCACTACTATCAAATATTGTAAAAATTAAATGTGAGCGCATGCGCTGATTGTGGTGTATACTTCGCCTATTCAATTGCGGTCCTTGTGTTTTCACGCACGTGTTTATATATAGTGAAAAAAGTTGTGAATAAAAAATGGACGAGTTTGTTAAAAATTTATTAATGTCGTTGAATATGGAATCTTTGATTCCATCTTTTGGAGGTAGGTTTATTATTTTGATTGAATTAGCGAAGACTGAAGTGTGAACGTGTTTATAACCTCAAAACAATTTTGCGTTGTTTAGACGGTGAAATTGATGAAGAATCGTTTTACTTACTGGACAATGATACAATATCACTCATTATACCAAAACCAGAACCTCGCTTAAAATTTTTTAAAAAATTTCAAGATTACAAAAATCAAGTAAGTTTTTTTTTCGTTTGTATAAATGTACATGTGTTTATTGAAATTTTTTTTTGGAAAAAAAACTTTTTCATATTTTTTCTTACTTTTTTTAAACTTAAAAATTAGTAAAATAATACAAATTCAATTGACTCTGTGAAAAAAATATACCGTTTGATAAATATATTTATGTTTAAGCAAGTCCTTTTTATAGACGGAGTGAAAAAATAGACATACTCTTTTTTATGTAAAAAGTTTAAAGTTTAAATTCTTATCGAAATGTCTTATTAAAATAAAATGAAATTATTTAAGTTTACAAAAAAAGCGAGGTTAGGTTCGTGTATATTTGACACTCGAGAACGTAAAGAGATCGTATAAAATTTTTAACATCAAAAATTGTAAATTCCCTGGCGGATTCGATTTGCGTAATGTCTACTTAACTAAGGGGACTTTAGGTAGACATTAGGTAGACATGTAAAAAAACGTATAAAAAAGCTATTAATCGACTTATTATGATAAAAAAAAGTTGATAAAAGGGTAAATGAATGTTTATAGAGTAAATTCGTACAAAATTTGTAATTAATAAAGCAATAAATAATTAATAATGAATGGAAATGTGCGCGAGGTACCTGATCAGTTCAGCTGTACAATTATTTTCGTGCTATTTTCATGAAAAGAATATAAATTAACTGCAAAAACAATTGATATTTATAAAAAAGTGTAAAATTGATTTAATTTTATTGTTTGCAATACGAATTATTAAATAATAATTAAGTTTTTATCAAATGTGAATAGTGTTGTGAAAACCTGTGAAAACTAATGAGTTACTACATTACCGATCGCATATGAGAGATGGCGCCACCAGTTTTTACAATACAGTGCGAGCATGTTTTCTTCCAAGCTTTTGCTTTGAAAGAAAATAAAAAGTGAATTTTAAAATGCAGAATAAAGTTATACAAATAATTATTGATTTCATAATTGTTTCTCGTCCAAAATTACGGACATGATTGCAGCTTTTTTGTTACACTCATCGAGAACTTTTTATTATCATATGCGATCGGTAATGTAGTAACTCATTAGTTTTCACAGGTTTTCACAACACTATTCACATTTGATAAAAACTTAATTATTATTTAATAATTCGTATTGCAAACAATAAAATTAAATCAATTTTACACTTTTTTTATAAATATCAATTGTTTTTGCAGTTAATTTATATTCTTTTCATGAAAATAGCACGAAAATAATTGTACAGCTGAACTGATCAGGTACCTCGCGCACATTTCCATTCATTATTAATTATTTATTGCTTTATTAATTACAAATTTTGTACGAATTTACTCTATAAACATTCATTTACCCTTTTATCAACTTTTTTTTATCATAATAAGTCGATTAATAGCTTTTTTATACGTTTTTTTACATGTCTACCTAATGTCTACCTAAAGTCCGCTTAGTTAAGTAGACATTACGCAAATCGAATCCGCCAGGGTTGTACAATCAAATTTCTATAATCATCTGATAGTAAATGCTACAATCTATATCGCTGTCTGTATATTTAGCACTAAATATGGTTGCCCTTAACATCATTATGTTACCCAGTAGCATAAATTTCTCTCCGTGTACTTCATTTGAAAAGGACTTGAAAAAAAAATACATATTAAAAAACATATTAAAAACACAATTAATTATTTAATTAAACAATTACAATTTTATTACGCTGTGAAAAATGTAAAATTACTTTCAATGTTTTAAAACTGCATAAAGGTTATGTACACATAACCCACAATTTTTTTATTTTCAAAATAATATTATTTATTTTCTTAATATTACTTACCTCACTTAATTAAATGCAACCAGCAATTATATTTAATTTATTTAATTTATAATTAAAAATTGAATCCCACGTTGTTTAATTTTAAACAAAAAATTTAAAGAGCCGGCACCAAGAGAACGGAAACTGACGCAAACCAGTATTTTTCACTGCGCCTCAGCGACAGTTGGCAATACATTGCGCGCGCATCCAAGTACAATAAATTTGCACTTGTACTTGGACTTGGTCTTGCATCTTATGTAGAACCTCCTACGCTATCTCATGCATGCAGAAACATTTGTCTGGTTACACTTAAATGAACTCTAGAGAATGTTTAGTAACTTTCTAGTAATTTTCCAAAAATTTCGGTTGTACCTAACTAGAAAGTTACTAAACATTCACTAGATTTTGTTGAAGTGTGACCGGACAAATGTTTCTGCATGCATGCACAGTGCATGCATGAAGGTGGTTCCAGAATAGGTGCAAAAGCCAAGTACAAGTGACAATCTTATGAGTGCGAAAGAGATAGGTAGTCTATCTATCTCTTTTGCATTCATCAGATTTGCATTTGGACTTGCACTTGTAGTGATGGGTACGTATAATACATGACGTATAATACGTGGTTTTCTACGTATATTACGTGCCAAGTTTTCTACACGATGTATATGACATTTGATCACGTGATTTAAGAGCGTCAATTTAAATTCTTCATTAAAATACATCATTCATTACACTTTCCCAGGGCAAACCCTCTTTAAAAGATTTTCTTTTACTTTTTCTGACCATTTCTATTTTATTTTAAGACTTTAATTTAAATAGAATGATAAGAAAAATTCGTTATGGCAAAAATCAGAGGATCATTTATAGATGTCAAAATGTCAGTGGTTTTCTACATGGTTTTATACATTTTATACGTATATTACGTCGAAAACGTATTATACGTACAAAAATTCGTGTGACGTGTCACAACCCATCACTGTACTTGGCTTTTGCACCTATTCTGGAACCGCCTTGAGATAGTGTGACCGTACCCTTATGTACATACTCCTGACCAGATATACTTACACATTTTTGTCCTTTTCTAACGCATGTGTTGCCATGACAACTCTTGCGTTAGAAAAGGACCTAAAGTTGAGGAGTAGTTGAGAATCTTTTTGTTGAGTGCATGATCCATGATTGTTGGATCATGGTTGAGTGTTTTGAAATATTTTAAATCTTTCATGAGACTTTCGATTTTATCAAAATTTTATAAAATTTTACAATGATTGTCAAAATCAAGTGACATTAAAACTATGAAAAAGTAATGTAAATTAACTTCAATAAGTAAAGTGAGTACAATATATTATTTAATTACAAAAAATTGTTTCTTAGGAAATGTTAAAAAACAGATTGTTTTTATTAACATGAATATGTAATTATATTTAATACACTTTGCATGAGTGTTAAATTCAATTCGACAATAGAATGTAATATTAAATATTTTTCATTTTTATTAGTAAAAAATTAATTCTGTGCATTTAATTAAAAGGTGATATAAGAAAAGAGATGTTTTAGAGGTTACGGTTGTTTTTCTGATTGCGTATTTCTCATATGAACTTGGATCCAAAATAAACATTTAATTTACCATATAATCAAGTCAAATATAGTTTGTGACAGTGTATAAAAAAGCCTCACAATCCGCGGAGAAATTACGCAGTGCGAAAATATTTATACTACAAATATTTAAAAAATAATAACAATGCAGTCAGTTTGATTTTAAGACTTAATTTTTGTATTTTCTAGTACTTCGTACGAAAGGGCATTGCCTGTATAATTGAATAAAGAAATATTATTATATTTTGATAGTTTTAGATTATGTCTTATGTAAATCAAACTTTTTAACAGTTTGTAATTTCCTGACGTTATTGTATTTATATTTGACAGTTGTGATACTCGGTAATGCCAAAGTCATTTAAGAATAATATTTTATTTATATGTACAAGAAACCATAATAACTCAGTCAATATATAAGGTAGACAGTTAAAACAAAAACCATTAAAAAGGTTACTAAATTATTCGTCTAATATAGTGCAACTGCATTTTTATTTCTGGAATCGCATATGGTGATTCTTACAGGTTTTTTGACGCTGAACACAATTCTAAACTCAGGATTGCTCCATTATCCTATAGGTTTTCGAGAAATTTGACCTTAAAAAAAGAAAAAAGGTCTTTTTTAGAGTACTTTTTGATTTTTTATAACGGTAAACCTTTTTTTTTGAAGTTTTCGTGATATGCATTTGAAAGCTCATATCTTCCTGAACAATTTGCAATTTAGAATTTTTTAAAATATTTATTTTTGTATCAGATATCCTTGTTTGAAGTTTTCGTTTGAAAGAATGGATAGGTTTCGTTGAAACTTATCTTTCGGCGGTTTCCAAGGTTCAAAATTGGGTATCACGTCAGGATTTTGAAATAAGTGAGGGTAATTACCCACAAAAAACATATTTTTGACGGTTTTCAGTATTGTTTTCTCCTTAACCTGACGTACTTTATATACTTCTATATAGATTTTTAATTTTGAAAAAAATACTGCAAACCGTCAAAAACATGTTTTTTGGGGTATTTATCCCCACTTTTTTAAAATCCTGACGTGATATACAATTTTGGAACCTGGGATCGTGTTCAGCACACAAAAATACATTGGAAACCACTCTGATATCTAAAAAAAAAAAACCTTGTAGGTCTGTGTTACTGACCCTTGAAACCCCCGAGAGACAAGTTTCAACGAAAACTATCAATTTTTTCAAACGCAAATTTCAAACAAGGATATCTCATACAAAAATAATAAATAAACTTTTAAAAAAACTTGTTTACTGTTAAAAGAAATCAAAAAATACCCTAAAAACGGCATTTTTCAATTTTCAATGTCAAATTTCTCGAAAACCTAGGGTGATGGTGCAATTCTTAGTTAGAATCGCGTTCAGCGTCAAAAAACCTGTAAGAATCACCCTATTCGATTTCAGAAATAAAAAAAATGAAATTCTGTTGCACAGTATAATGATATACTGCCGTCCTGATGACGAAGCTGAAGTACGCAACGTTTATATAAACGATTTTTAAAGAAATAATTTTTTGTCTAAAAATATTTTTTTATAATTTGTTGATTAATGAAAACTACAAGAAATATTTTTTAAGCAAAAAATTATAGAATTTTTCATTTTAAAAAATTATTTCTTTAAAAATCGTTTATATAAACGTTGCGTACTTCAGCTTCGTGTCCTAATGAAGAAAGTCGGTACTTGCATTCAGAGTAATTTCGAGATATTTAAAGAAACGTACTTGCATTACTGCTGGAAAAAACATTTGTGACGTCACATCACAAAGTCACTTGTCAGACCACATTTCCTGTCAGTAATAGTAAGTACCGACTCTGCTTCAAGGAAAGAGGAGTAACTACGTCACCACTTTCCTGCCGTAGTTGCCAATACATATCATTTTTGTCTGCAAGTACCTACCGACTTTTCTACACGATCTCAAAAAAGTTTGGTAATTAAGGACTAATTATCTTCAAAATTAATTAATATTATAAAATAATATTACTACAGCTAGATATGAAGCTATTAATGAATGCTAGTAATGCAAGTAATGAATCCAGTATGGTATAAAAATCTCATTTTTCTTAAAAATGTCGCTTACCGACTTTCATCATCACGATGGCAGTATACACTACCGCAGAGAATTATGCGAGCTCTGCTTTTTCGATGACTATAAAACTGATCAAATCTTAAAAAATCTAAAATTCTTTCCTTTGTATTTTTTAAAAACTAATAAACAAGAGTAGTCTGAAATCAAATCAAACATAGCAGAACTGCAAAACAGAGAATAAAAATTGAGGGAGAAAAATGAAATTTAATTGTTCAAAGTTTCTGAGCGGATCACATACCAAATATCCTTGTTATTTAAATATTTAATATTTTTTCTTATCAGTTTAATGTCGTTAAAAAATTTTAAAGGTTAAAAATTGTTTCCAAATATTAGGATTACCAGCTATATTATAATTAGTAACATTTAAATTTAAGTTAGTTAAAGAATTTTAAAGTTGTTAGTAGTTTTGTAATGTTCTCTATGATAATAACCTCAGAAAAGTAATGTATTTTGCTAAAAACAATTTAATTAATAATGATTTGTTTATGATACTTATGTTTGATTACATTTAATTGCTTCTAAAATATAGCTATTGAAATTTCCACGGTAAGTGGATGATGCTCGGTTTTTGACACACGGTATTTGAATCCTGCAACTTTTAACACCACAATAATATATGTACTTGCATTATTATTTAAAATACTTATTGATATTTGACTACATAGCAATATTCTAGGAAAATTGTATCCCATCAAAAACATCTTTGATGCTAAAAGCTTAGCCAAATAAAAGTGATCTCAACTGTAAAAAAAAAATTGTGAAATGAAAGTTTGCCAAGCAAAATTTATGATTAGGTTGAATTTTGAATAATTTTTTCAATATTACAATAAGTCCATGTAAGAAGTATCAGAAACTGCAAAAGGTTCTTCAATTTTAATAATATTTGGTAAAATCATATCCTAATATAAGAGCAATCCAAAAGCTTTAATTGTTTTATTTCTAGTTTGCTGGATATTTTTTAATAAAAAAAATAATTAAAAAAAAAATTTTTTCTACAATAATAAATTTAATAAATAATATTTAATCGGATTTCCCCGCAGTAATTCCAGGTGATAAAAACCTGATCATAAATCGGACTAATTACGGATTAGTTCAGAAGCAGTCCGGAATTTTAACCAGGGAATACTTTACAAGCGAGAATAGAGAATGTGATTACCATTCTGAATTGGAAAAATTGTACTTTGTACCTTAGGAATTCTTAATATAAGATGATGTGTCCTAAGTTTTCATAAAAGTGTAATAGGAATTGTAAGAAATATTCCAATGAAAATTTCGTGTATGTATATGAAATTTAGTCGATAGGTAGGTAGGAATAACAGTAAATTATAATTTTTGAACCAAAAATAGATTAGGATATAAATATTGCGATAAGTTTGGGTAAAATTGAAGAGATTTGTATAGATAGGAATTTCGATGGATAGGACGAGGTATGTATGTGAATAGTCATGCATAAATAAGGATAGTGGGATAGATTTTTATTATCTTAACCCTAGACAGCACAACATAGCTGGCTCATAAGTAGAAGCACATCTGGGGTTGAAAACCACCCCAAAATTGTTTTGTTGCTAGAATGTTTATATTTAGCGCAAAATAAATTTATTATAAATAATTTTTTCCCTTTTTTTATAAGGAAGAAGAGGGCGTTTTTTTTTTTTTTTTGATAGGATCAAAAATATGGCCAAAAATTACAAAAACCACAACAAAAATCACAAAATCTGCCAAAAATACCGAAATTTGAATTTTTTCTGGGGTAGTTTTCTACCCCAGATGTGCTTTCTAGGGTTAAAAATACTTTAATATTTGATACTTTTCATTCTTTTAATATTAACTATTTCTTACAGAAAAGTATTCTTCATATAAATATCATTGAAACGAGATGTCCTTCATTGGAGGAGAAACTTCTGAAAGAAGATTTGAGATTGAATGTAAATTAGAAGTAGAAATTAATGCTTTGAAAGCTTTGAACAATGCACAGGTACAAAGTCAACGTTTAACAAGTGGCATGGTAGCAATAATATCTTCTTTGGAAGAAAGATTAGCAACTCTTCGGCGTACAATTCTTCCAGTTTACAATGAGACAGGAAACTTGCAGTCTCAACAGCACAGTAAGAGTTTATCAATTATATAACATTTCTCCTGCAATTGTTTTTGTATTAATAGTTAGAAAAAGCTTCACCCTAATTTCAATGGTGGGAGTCATGCAAACCTATCGTTCTATATAATGTACCAATTATTTTTTAAAAAGAGTTTAAATAGTTTCAATCTGATTCATAAGTTTAAGTCGGGTTCTATCGAATATTTTCAATGAGGATTCTCGGAGGATTAATTTTCTAATTCAGATCTTTAGGATTTTTTTAAAGTTTGTGATAAATTAATTCTTATTTAGATATCGAAAAAACTTTGACAGTACTGGATCATGCAATTGGCTATTACGGCGTGTGCCAAGAAGTAGAGGGATCAGTTCGAGGTGGACCTAACGGTGCAGGTGGTTTAGATGGTTTTCTTGAAGCAATGAACCGTTTATATAATGCTCAGCATTACTTTCAAAAGAATAATCCAAGTTCTGTTGAACTGGAAAATATTTCTACTTTATTTGGTGTTGGATTAGAAGCACTTTATGCTGAATTTCATGATATTTTAGCCAGACAAAGTAAACCGATGCTGCCAATTGTACTTTTAGATATAATTGGTTCTGATGAGGATACTAGTGGCGAAGATGCTCCACAATCTCTCTGTCAGTTACCAGAAAGTACAATTGGCGATTTAGTAAAAATAGCTGTCTGGCTGGAGGAAAGAGGACTTCGTCGTTATGCTGATATATATACATCTGTTCGATCTGCAATTGTTCTTCGATCATTGCAACTGATGAAAGAACATCATAGAAGTGCAAGTGGTGGCAGCACACACGCGGCTAGTCCTATGATGGTATGTAATTATTTTAACTAAGACACCTTTCAAAACTAATTTTATTTTAACTAGACTATTAGAAGTAATTGTAATTTTTATTTTCAGAAGACGAAATTTCAACATCGTCATTCATTAAGTGCACAAGAAAATGTTGGACGCAAAACGTCACGACGTTTACAGCATGCTTTAGAGAAAAAGGCCAGTAAAATGTTTTTAAAAGCATCTCAAACTACTGGTATAGGTCTTTCATTTCCTTCCTCAAGAAGACAATTGCCAACACCATCTAATGTTATTGTTGAAGATACTGCTCCAGAAGAACAAGAAATGGAAAACTATCTTTTATTAACTGCTAGTTTACATAAACTTATACAATCTGAACGTATTTTGTTGGGTAGGATTTTATCATCCTATTTACAACCTCAAGTTTTAGAAGCAACTGTACGTGATGCTATGGATCTTGTAGTTCATGATGGAGAAAATATTGCATCAAGAGCTAAACGTTGTATTGGGAGACGCGATTTTTCTGCTGTTTTAGTTGTTTTTCCAATTTTAAAACATCTTGGCGAATTAAAACCAGATTTTGAAAGAACAGTTGAAGGATGTGATTACACTCTTAGATCGAAATTCGCATCGCTTATATCGACATTAAATGCAACGGTAACGAATATAATTTATTCTTAACTTTTTTCATCTCCATCAACATATTTAAATGTTTTTACATATTTCCATTAAATGAGCTGAAGTGGTATTTCAATAGTCAAAAATCAAATCCACTTAAATAAATAAAAAGGGAAATATGGCAAGAAAATGTAGAGAGTAAAGTACTAATTTTGTTGAATAAAATTTCTGCTAAATTTAATTTCGTTTAGATAAAAATTTATAGAAACATTATTATTGCAGTTATATGTTTAAAATATGTAATTTTAACACTGATATTGCTGGGATTTCTCAAATGTAAATTTTATTTATTAGTATTTAGTAAAATTGAATTTATAGTTTTGTTATTCAATTTAGGGAGCTAAAGCTTTGGAAGACTTTGCTGAAAGTGTACGCAATGAAGCAGGAACTGCTTTACCAAAAGATGGAACAGTGGCTGAAAGCACTAGTAATGTTATAGTATTTCTAGAACAGTTAATTGAATACACGGATACTGCGAGCAGTGTACTCAATCGTAACGAAACCGATTTTACAGTTACATTCAAAGATAGCTCTCATCGTGCACTTTTAGGATCCTACATAAGTAAGTATTTTTTTAACGTTCAACAGAGGTTTACAAATAAATGAAGCATTCAAAAAAAGACTACTTAAAATTTAAATTGTATAATTAGTTTATAAAAAGAATGAGAAAAAATAGAAATATAGAAAATATAACATAAATATTGTATTTATATAATTTATATTTCGATTTGTTTCAGAAAAAGTGTTAGCTCAATTAAATTTATCTTTAGTGAGTAGAAGTGATAATTCATATTCAGATGCAGCTTTACGTGCTCTATTCCGATTAAATAACCATAATTATGTGATAAATGCTCTCCGTCGGAGTTCACTAATGGAATTATTATTATTGGCTGAACCAAATGCTGAGCAAACATACGATGATCTTCTTCTACGGAATCAAATTAATTACGTATCTGCTACATTCAGCAAAGCTAAAATGCCCATAGAAAATGCTAATGATGATACAGGTAAAATTATTAATAAATGTAAAAAACTGATGTCAACAGAATCTCACCTCACATTAGATTTTAATGTGTGCTCCAATTATAAAAAAAAGATTTGATAATACGTAATCAATGTATAGACAAAAGTTTTATTTCATTTATATCTATAAAATAATACTTTTTCAAATGCTTATATCTTTTTATTTAATTCTGAGAATTAATAATAAATTAATTATTTAATAAAAAAATCGTTTGTTTACAGATTTGGGATCAAAAACAATCAAAGAAATATTTTCTACTTTTACTAAGGAATTTGATGAAGTTGCAAAACATCAGCGATCATTTTCAGTACCGGATGCGCGTTTAAGAGCTGATTTGCGTAAGGAATTAAACAATTCTATCACACCGGTTTATTCGGATTTTTATAATAAGTATAGAAAAACTTCCTTTTCAAAAAATCCTGGAAAATACATTAAATACACTCCGGAACAAATTTCGAGTACTATCAAGACATTCTTTGATGGAACAACATAAGATTGGATCTCTAAATGCCGATTTTGCAAGGAAAATTAATATCACATAATTATTTATAAAAATTAAAAATTCATTAATGCAGTTTGATTCTTCAGTGATTTTAATAAAAGAAAGTTATAAAAATATAGTATTATGAAATAAAGATTTTGAATACATGGTGGTAATTATTAGGTTAGAATTTAGAATTCTAAAATATCTAAAAATGTAATAAAATATATCTGTAAATATAACATGATCTTTTAATAATTTTCTGTTCACAATACCTCGATTCAACGGCATTAGAGCGCGAAATCCCAAGCGTTTTTTCCTCTGTGGGATTTATTAATATCGATCGCCTGCACCATCGGGTATAATGACTTTGTCACAGATCTTCCTTATGGGTAAAAATTCTTCCCTTTGGGAAGTTGATCAGCCCTCTGATTTTAGCCTACGCAAAAGATCTGTATATAAAAGGCGAGAAGAATTTACAGAAGTCAGTTCTTCTTTCTATCCGGCTTGATACGCACAAGTAGTTCTAATTGTAATTCGCCCAAGTTTGTACGAGTGAAGTCAAGTGCAAAATTCTTATAACCTAAATTTGTGCGAAAAACTTATAAACCAAATCAGTGTGAAAAATCCTTTAAATTAAAACTGAGCGAAAATCTGTGCGCAAAAATTCTTATTTTATAGATTTTTTATTTAACTGAACTTTGATAAAGTAGATTTTCTAATATATCGAATTTTCAAATAATACAATTTCCATTTAACAAAATTTATGTCTAGAATAATTTTCATAAACAAGAATTTTTATTTATCAAAATTGTTCTTTTGTCAAATTTCTGTTTATCCGAATATTCACTTAAAAGTAATTTTATTAACAGAATTTCCAATTAAAAGAATTTCTATATAACAAAATTCCTATTTAACAAAACTTTTATTAGGAAATAAAATTTCTTTTATATTTAATTTTTATTTAAGGGTATGTGGGAACCTCTCACGTGACCCAGTATGGGAAAATGTGTTTTGGTAGTATACATCTTACTCTAAAATGAGAAAATATTTCTGTCTAAAATTTTGAGGGATGATAGATTTGGGTTCAAGGAATCTCGCTGTTCTCCGAAAAATACATAATTTTGCATTAAATTATTAAAAAATGAAGTTTAAAAAGTGGCATTTTTAAACTAAAATGAAAAAAAGATGGCGGTGCATACACAGACGTTGCGTGAGTGTGTCAGTGCTCCAGGGAACAGCGCCAATTCGAGCGAGTGGCCACTGAATGAACTATGATAAAACACATTACTTTACTATTTATTGCTTTATTTTTATTCTTTTTGCGTTATGTTATAGTAAATGTAAAGAATAGCGAGATTCCTTGTACCAAACAAAATCATTGCTCCATAATTTTAAACCGAAATCATTTTTTATTTCAGAGAAAGTTTCAAACCACAAAAAAACGACATTTGCCCACATACCCTTAATAGAATTATCATTTAATAGAAATCCTACTTAGCTAAATTTTTAAGACAAAGAATTTTTATTTCACCGATACTTCATTTGACCGAAGTTTCATTTATCCGAATTTCGTTAGATAAAATCCTAGACATTGGGCCCAACATTTTTCTTCAAATAAGTGAATTTAAAAAATCGCGGTAACATATCAGAAATTCGAAGCTAATTTTCGCTTTAGGCCTAGAGCTCAATGTAAGATTCCTCAGCCCAATATTTTTTCATATACTTCACAGGTTAAAACACATAATTTCATAGGGATTACGAATTTGATTCTGAAAATTAGAGGATTTTATTTAACAAAAGCAACCAATTTTTTGGGTTCACAAATGTAGATCTTTTTGTTAGGAACAACTTTTGTCTTGAACATTTTTTATAAAAATGCGTACTTTTCGGGATATTTGCAAGTTTCCATACTTTTTGAGCAAAATACATTCTGCGTGATAGCGCTAGAGAAACGCAGCGCCGCACAAAAAACGCGATAACTTTTTTGCTAATTGCGATCCACGAAATTTTAAAACCACAGAAAATTAAAAGGCATTAAAATAAGCTGCAACGCTTATTATTTTAATCCAATTTTGCTTATATATTTTAATCCATTTTGGTATTAAAATAAGCAAAATTGGATTAAAATAATAAGCGTTGCAGCTTATTTTAATGCCTTTTAATTTTCTGTGACGGTTTTCAAATCCTTATGAAATTCACTTTCCAATAAACTTTGGATCAACTTTTCACGACAACGAGAATATGGTTTATTTTTTAAATAAGTAATTAATTTTGCAATAACAATTATTAAAAATCAAAAATTTTCAAATTTTCTACTAAAACACTATCATTTTCTGTGTAAGTATACCAATTTTTATAAAGATTTTTACAAAAAACTTCAATTGTTTATAACTTTGAGAAATTTAATTTTTTTGAAAAATCCTTTGAAGCAGTTTTTCAACTGATAATAATGTTTTAATTTTCTATATTTCCAAGCAAATACAGTACATCTTTAATTTGGGTGATCTACTTTAGGAATTTTTACTCTATTAGATTTTTTTGATTTAAGAAAATTGATAAACTTTTTATTTCTCTTTTATGTTAATTTAATACAAAAATTATAACTACATGTTTAGCACTTCGTCGCCTAAGTCAACGTCTCCCGTTTATATAATGCTGATTAAAACACAATTACAAGATCATTTTTATTAAATTTTCCGTTCAATATCATTCATACCAAAATTTTAGTACAAGATATTTTTTTTATGTCACATGCAAAATAATACCTATTGAAGCTAACGGACAATATAAGTTTTATCAAACTTATTAAATAATAAAGTCTAATAACTTATTATTCTCATCACTATAGTATTTCAATCATGATATGAACGGAAAGCGTCGAGCTGATTCATTCGAACATTAATCTTTTTCATAAACTTTAATCACATTAACTAAAACCTTAATATTAGTAAGAAAAAAAAGTATGCTGGCAATCCAAATATAGTTAAAAGTATTTATAGACTGAAATTCTAATATATAAGCCATTAACAACCATATACCTTGTGAAAACATCCAAATTCCAAATAGTGTAAATGTTTGCAAAAGATTACAATTTAATCTTTGAGAACATAATGGATATAAACACAAGAACCAAAAAAAATATTGTGACGTCATAACAGTGTTACATATTACAAGAAGAAATACTTGCACCATTAGAGCAAATGATAGATTTCGTTTGGATGAATAAAAAATAGAAATTGATGTTAATAATACAAGTTGAATAATGTTATTGAAAATTCGAAAAAATTGTAAATATGAATTACCCATAGATAAGTAAAGGGGATAAAAGAAAATAGAAAAATTATGTCGCGTATCTTTTCTAATCAAATGATATATTAAACTCTCGTAAATAAATTCATAACCGTAGAAATAATAACTCACTGCAGTTAAAATTGTTAAAGACATGACGCAGCAAAAAGTAAATTTGATTTGTTTCATATTTACAAAAGTATAATTAGGAATTCGAAGAGAAAAATACATGGCCATACTGAGTGCTAAAGGATACAGCCTATAATGTATAGAAATTCCATGTATCAAACCACCTAATATATTATATCCTGATTGTAAAAAGTATAATGTTAAAATTACTAAAAATGCAGCCAAACAGTCAGCATTTCCTCTAGTTGAAATGACAATCGTTAGTGGATTATATAGCCAAAGACATGCGCATTTAATTGCAACGTTTTCATCACGAGATTTATTTATAACTACCAATTTATAAATTAGCAGTGCAACTAAAATGTCAATAAATGAAAACAGAATTTTTCCATATTGTGCAGATAAAGTTATATTTGGCGTTAAAACTAAAGCTAACAACGGACTGTATCGATAAGTATGACGTTCAAATGGAGATAGACCATCAAGTATGTATCGGGCTGCATCCGTAAATACTTCATAGTCTACATCCGTATATGATACATTAAAATTTTCATCATGAAATTTTGAATAAATTACCAAAATTATGCGCAAGAGAAAAGCAAATATACAATGGAACTTTAAAGTAAAATTTTTCATTTTGCTTTCAGGAATATAAACAAAAATAAATACTTACAAAGTTTATGAATTCCAGTGTATTTTGAAAATTGCATTTACAACTTACGTTCTACAGCCTTTCTCAGACATTTTTTAAAATTATAAAATTCTAATTTACAATTATTTTTTTCTAAATTAACTTTTCCTATTACGCAATTTGCATAAGCAGCAGCTGATTCATGACAATGTAATAATAATGCAGGACAATTTCTTAAACGAGTTTTTGTACTTTTCAAGATTTCTACGCTGTTAGTCATTGTTGGTTTCTAAATTAGACAATGCTTTTTTTATATCACTTTCAGAAATAACAGGAGCGGTCCAAATTTCGTAAATTTGTCTACTGAAAAACAGGCTTGTAGACAAGACACACCCTGTAACAATGAAAAATCTTGGATACCGTTGTATAAAAGAAGCATTCTTCAGTACTGGCTTTCTTTTCATTGTCTACTTTGTTGCCTTTTTCTGAAAAATAATAATTTTATAATTAGTCTCAATAGTTTTTAGTAAATTTAAGTATTTATATACCTCATCGACACTGGGAGCGAGTAAATTTTCACGACTGTATCGTTGAATTTGATTGGCTTTATCACATTTTCCATGTTCCAATTTTTTGGAATAGTGAAAAAAGAATTTATTGCAGAAACAGTTGTTAAAATTTACTCTCCCAGAGTCAATAAGGTACACTCGTGGCCAGATATGCCTACACATTTTTGTCCTTTTCTAACACACGTGTTGACATGACAACTTTTGCGTTAGAAAAGGACAAAAATTTGTAGGCATATCTGGCCACGAGTGTATATTATACAGTATAAAACCCCTCACTCCTTTAAAGCCTGAGCAGAATAAAAACCCAAACAAATTCTCTAACAAACTTTATCTTAACTTCTATCCTTTCCTCTGTACACCCTTTTCCCTCCAGTGACCACCTTATCCTTCTCTCCATACACATTTAATTCTTATCAATTCTTTACAAATTTCTTTTTAACATTATAATTTGATTCTTTTTTTCCTCATTTTCCAACTCCATGATCAACAATGTAGTTTTCTCCTAATCTTTATATACCTTTCTAATATTAACAATCGCCCTAATCTTTGTAAACATATATTCCACGTCCCTTTATTCTTTTTCCACTCTAATTTTGTAGCTCTAATGGTAATTTTTCTCATTTTTTTAGGGTTTCATGGCACAGGGCCAAAACCCTTATAACGATGCTTTGGCGTTCCATAATTTTAATTTTAATTTTAACATTCATTAAGAAAGGATCAAATACTTAATATTCAACAACATATTCAGAGATAAAGCTTTAATTCAAGAAATTCTAAATTATGTAATGAAAGTCATATTCATTTATCAACTACATAATCTGATAAAAAAACAGCGGAAATTGAATTCGATGGTAATACGAGATGAAAATTAAATAATTCAATTAAAAAAATTATCATATAGTAAATTAACTTCCAGTTTCAGCTACAAATTAAAATTAAAAGTTAAGGATTCTAATTCTCATCAATAAAATTTGTTTATTTTCAACTCTCCAAAACCTGAAATAAAAAAGGTAAGAAAACAGTATTTATCATTGTTTTGTCACGGATTTTCTGAGAATCTCGAAATTTCAAGTAAATTCATATTTCGCCGCCTCAGAAGCAATTTTTCTCGTTTGATAATTATTATTTATTTCAATTCTAGAAGCCTTTTAAAACAAATTTCAAAATGTTACAAGTCGGGGAAAGCAGTGAATTCAATTTTTTGTCGAGGATTTTACGAAAATCCTACAAAAAAATTGCTATTTCCCCGACTTGGAAGCAATTTTTCTGTTTCTTAAAAGGCTTCTAGCATTGAAATAAATAATAATTATCAAACGAGAAAAATTGCTTCCGAGGTGGCAAAATATGAATTTACTTGAAATTTCGAGATTTTCAGAAAATCTGTGCCAAAACAATGATAAATACAGTTTTCTTAACTTATTTTATATTTCAGGTTTTAAAGGGTTAAAAATAAACAAATTTCATTGATGGAAATTAGAATCCTTAACTTTTATTTTTTTCGTTGAATCAACGTTGGTATCTTCAGTTTCATCAGCATTTGGAATATTAATATAGCTTTTACGTTAATTCACTGATATCGATTTTAAGAGACTACTTAGGGGATGGTATTTTTCTAAATGTTCTAAGGTGGTATTTAAACACAATAGAATTCGATAATATATTTAATATTATTTTTCAACTCTAGTTTTAAAGCTTTATTTCAAGGAATCCTCAATTATCTAGTTTGCTTATATATTTTGTTAATAAGTAGTTAATCAACTTTACAAAATCGGTAGTCAAATTCACTTTGTAATATGATCCCTAAGATAAATTTTTCAAGATGATCCACGACTTAAATAATGCTTTAACATGAAATAATAAAGAAATAAATAATAAATAATTAACAGAAATAATAAATAATTAACATAAATAATAAATAATTAACATAAATAAACATAAATAAAATAAACATAAACATGTTTAAAATTAGAATCATAGAACTTTCTAAATGTTAGCAAGGTTTTTACCTACATCAATCGAAGTCCAATTTAGATCTACTGTGAAGAAGGTGTTACTTATTCGAAATGTTTTAATAATGAAATAAATTTAATTTTAACGTTCATTACGAAAGGATAATATACTTAATATTCAACATCTTCAGAGATAAAGCTTTAATTCAAGAAATTCTAAATTATGTAATGAAAGACATTTATTTATCAACTATTTTGTCTGTTAAAAAACAGCGGTAATTGAATTCGATGGTAATGAGATAAAAATTAAATAATTCAATTAAAACAACCCAATCGGCACGAAAACTTGCAGCAAACTTGCAGGAAGCTTGCCGTGAAAGATGTGCAAGATTGCAGGCAAATATGTAGCAAGTTTGGTGCAAGTAACAAAATGTCCGTTTACGGCAAGCTTGCAGGGCAACTTTGGCGCAAGTTTGCTGCAAGCTTATATAATATTAAAAAAAAAAATTTAGAAACAAACATAGAACACCCTCCTTTGGAGATTAAAAAATTTTTTACGCAACCGTAGGAGCTTCCTTTAACAAATGCGCATCATGTTAAGTTTTGCAAAACTTTTAGTAAGCTTGCGCCAAGGATGCCCTGCAAGCTTACCGTAAGAGGACATTTTGTTGCTTGCGCCAAACTTGCTACATGTTTGCACTGCAATCTTGCACATCTAGCATGGCAAGCTTCATGCAAGTTTTCGTGCGGATTGAGAATTATCGTAAAGTAAATTTACCTCCAGTTTCAGCTACCAATTTAATTACGATTTGATGTTTCAAAGTCGTGGACTACTTTTAAATTAAATTTTATTAAGTTTTTAATAATAGGATCATGAACTATTTGGAATGTTAATCTAGCACTTACAGTAATTAAGTAATATTATGTAATATTAATTAATTATTAAGTAATTAAGTAATTAAATATTAAGTAATATTATGAAAGGATAATATACTTAATATTCAACAACATTTTCAGAGATAAAGCTTTAATTCAAGAAATTCTAAATTATGTAATGAAAAATATATTTATTTATCAACTACGTCGTCTGTTAAACAACAGCGGTAATTGAATTCGACGGTAATACGAGATGAATCTTAAATAATTCAATTAAAACAATTATTTTATAGTATATTTACTTCCAGTGTCAGCCAGCAATTAAATTACGATCCCAGATAGCATTTAAGCTTATAGTAATCTTGCGGCAAGCTTCAAATATCCCACCTAACCCAAGCTTGCATGGTAAGCTTTCCGAAAGATTGCAGTGTAAGGTTGCTGCAAGATTGCACAATAAGATTATCGCAATATTGCTCAGTAAGATTGCACGGTAAGCTCGTAGCAAGATTGGTGCAAGGTTGCCAAATAACTTTGCTTTAAACCTAAAAAATTTTTTTTTAATGTTTTGTCTAATTTATATAATTTTATTATATAAATTAAACGAAACATTAAAAAAAAATTTTTGTAGGTTAAAGTTAGGTTATTTGGCAACCTTGCATCAACTTTGCTACAAGCTTACCGTGCAAGCTTACTGAGCAATCTTGCGACAACCTTACACTGCAATCTTTCGGTAAGCTTACCATGCAAGCTTGGGGCAGGTGGGACATTTGAAGGTTACGTGCTATCTGTAATTGGATGTTTCAAAATTGTTGACTACTTAAATTACATTTGATTAAGTTTTTAATATTAGAATCATGCAACATTTGGAATGTTAATCTTGCATTTACGGTAATTCACTGATTTTTATAGCAATCGATAGAATGACAACTGTTTCCATAGTAACTTGAAATATTTTGAATTTAATCGTTGTCTTTTTGTCCGCATTAATTCTGAAATATTTCATATCATTTTCGGACTCGTTTCGTATAATTTAGATAGATTCAGTCCGTTTAAAAATCTGAATCCGAAATGAGTCTGGTATAATCCGAAATTTTTCGAACTAATTCCGGAATTTTAACCTGGGTTGTTATTTTTTTCGTTTTGTGTATATTGGGGAAAAATCTAGTTCCTTCCACGGAACTCAAAATAGATATTGTGTTTGGGTCAGCCTATCAAAGCCCCTAATGCATAATTGTATTATGTCATACAAGTTAAAAATTATATAAAAGACTTACGTAATCAACAGTGTGATGTTCGTATGGTTTAGATGTATCTATCCCTTCACAAACAAGAGACTGTGATGAATGTTTTAAACAACACTGTCTTAATTCCTCAAGAACTTTTTCACATTTAGATGGTTGATAGACATTATCTAAAATCAATGTTAATAAGGTAAGTTTTAAATATTAAAGTTAAAAAAAGATCTAATTTATTTAATAAGAAGTTGTTAAAAATTCCTGTACAAGACTGAACAATTTCCTGTATAATTTCAGTAGCTGAACTCCTACCATGGTCAGTTATAATCAGTTTCTGTACAGGATATTGAACATGTCTATAAGTTATTTCTATTTCAAATCATGTAATAAAAATATTTTTAAATTTGTAATCATATTTCATACGATTTTTATAGTTTTTAGTCCAAACAAAGAAAAATGATCACACTAATTTAAAAGTATCAAATTGATACTGAAAATATAAAATTCATACAAATTTTTATATCAATTTGATACTTTTAAGAGGTTACATAGGTCGAAAAAACAATCGAATTTCTTTTTTTATTTGATAGTATAACATTTCAAGAATATTTTCCCAAAGTTTTAATATAATGTGAGTAAAATTCTACAAAATAGAGAGAATTTTCAAAAAAGCTTTTTGTTTCGATCGGCACCTAGTGCAATTAATTTTTAATTACTTAGTTCGCCTTTTTGTGTCAGCCATTTTTAATTTTGGAAAACTGACACCAGATTCGTAAGCAGCAGCCCCAAAAACCTCAAAGTAAATAACAAAGAAAATCCGACGTTTTTATATCATTCAACTGTGAACGCTGTTTTCTCAAAATTATATTTTTGAAGTCGGTAGCCACTATTTCTCAAAAAGTAATAAACCGATTTTTCTGAAATTCAGCTCACTTCTTCTACATAGTATTGACTAGTGATTGAACGAAGGATTTTTCTTCTGTTGAGTAAAACCGATTTTACATGGTCTAAATGGTCCCAAAAATCGTAATTTGTAAAAAAAATCTTACAAAATTTTGAAAAACATTTTTGAAATTATTTTCTAATTTGTCTTGCTAATGTTTATAACATATTTAAATTTTATTAAAATCCGTTCTGTAGTTTTCGAGAAAAATGAGTTTTTTTATTTTTCTTTCCCCCTCCATAACTCCCATAAAAATTTGAATTATAGGTTCATACTTTCAGAATTTTATACTCATATGGGTATCAATATATGGTGCAAATATTATTATTTGTGAGTTAACTATTTCGAATCACCTCATTTTTCTTGTGCAGTATTAAAGCTTGAAAAATAAGGAAAATTTTGATCTTTAAACCAATTTATTTGGTGGTGCAGAAAAAAAGTGAATTTTTTTCATTATTTATTGTTGTATTTTTTAAATAAACAATTGTTTTTACTTAAAAAGTGATTATTTTGGACGTTTATATTAATAAATATTATAAAAAAAATGTTTCATTTAATTTTTGGAAAGGTTACTCCGAAAAGTGATCAAAAACTCATGGAATGGCACATAAATATGTTAAAAATTTTTTTGGTTGATTAATGAATTTGTGATTTACATGAAATTAAAATTTTTATTAAATTTGAGTTTCTAATAAATATTTTTTTGCCTTCTTCTACAAAAATTGTAAAATTTTACTATTCGAACCGGCATAACTTTTTTTATCGAGTACGAATTAAACATGCATGACAACATAACCTGATCAAAGAAACATAATTTATAAACATCAATGTACATTTAGCAACCTTAGAATTATAAAATTTACTATTTATTTAAATTATGTCATACATGAGATAAAAGTAATAGTGTAATGTAGTTTTTCATTTTTTTTATCAATTTGAAACACACTAACCTTTTAAACACGTTTGTAATTTACAAGCTAATTTCTTGCACGGATCTACTTCTGTCATGTAATTTGTAAATACGATCACAGTTTAATGTACTTCAAATTCTTTAAATAATAAATAAGTCAAAATTATTACCATGCTGTTTTTATCCAGTTATATTCATTTCTTATGTAACATACTAAAACATCCAAAATGTTAAAAGTGTATAAGGCTGTGTTTACATGACTGTCTTATTGTCACATGAGCAAATTAGTGATTTAAGTTAAACTATAATTAGCTTTGTTATAACTTAATTATAATTAAACTTAAATTAATGGTAAACTAACATTTTCCAAGAGAAACTAAATTTTCATTGGTTGAAATTTATTCTGCTAATCCGCAAATGAGTCGCCGGAAAGTAAAACCACACATAAAATTCTGACGGCCATGTTAATTCAATGGGAGTCAGAATTTTATGTGTGGTTTTACTTTCCGGCGACTCAAATCTGCTCTATAGATTGTTCCCTTTTGTTGTGCCTACAATAGACCTTTTCATGCTGATCATTCTGTCCTCTTCCAACTCATGCGTCATTGTATGCGCTAGATAAGGACAGAACGACCAGCATGAAAAGGTCTATTGGAATATATCAACGCACGTCTGTCTGAGGGTGATATCATATGGAGGTGTAAAGCGGAAAGCAGAAAATAATAAGAGTGAGAGGGATAGTGATATATGTCTTCATCTCTTGCACTCACGATCTTCTGCTTTACGCCTCTATGTGAATTCACCCTTAAAGTCGGTTCTCCAATGGGCACGTTTTTACGCGAATGTGAACATGTACGTGCTGACGTCACAATGTTCTGCAAATGGGTGACGTCAGTACGGAACGTACACATTCACGTAAAACGTGTCCATTGTAGAACAGACTTAAGCAGCGTCTACAATAAGCGCGTTGGACGCGAACGTGTACCGAAGGCTGGTTTCACAATGAGCTCGACGCAAGGTAAACGTAGCGTTGACGCGACGCATCCCCATTTGATTAGGGCGTCTCCGTTCTGGAATCGGCTCAGCATCAAGTCGGTTCTACAATGGGCTTGACGTGAACGCGACGCGCTGACGTCACAATGTTAATCAAATGGGTGACGTCAGCACGTCGCGTTCACGTTCGCGTCGCGTACCATGGATTGTAGAGCCGACTTTAGAATGCGTCGCGTCTACGCTGCGTTTGCTTTGCGTCGAGCCCATTGTGGAACCAACTCTAAGCAAATGGGGATGCGTCGCGTCTGCGTTTAGCTCCATTCTGAAACTAACCTAAAGGCCTCACTGAACTCTATCTGGAATGCTCTCTGACATTAAAAGTCGCGAACCGAGAGAGAGGTCTGATTTTTGTATTCTCCTCTTTGTCGGTACTGGTCCATTATTGGGATCTGAAATACTGCGATACGCCATCTGGTGAGAGCCTTGTTGTGGTGGCCATGTTTTCATTCCGTGTTTCTCTAACATACACAAAAGAAAGAGATAAAAAACCAAGATGGTTGTCACAAGAAGGCTCAGGGGTGGGTCAGTTTCGCGTGATTTCTGATCCCAATAAAATATTTAACAGTATACGTGAACATGACATAACACAGTTAACAGTAAACTTTTGGAACGTATTGTACTACGCCTGCGCAGTTTAGCAAGAGAAGGAGAGGGATACAAAAATCAGCCCTCTCGGCTCGCGACCATCAATGGCAGACAGCATTTCAGATATATAGGCTGCAGTCCCATGGCAGCGTTTTGCGTTGCGTTTTGTCACTAGACCCTAAGTGTAAACATAGCAAACATATATCTGCATCTCTTTTACACTCATGGTCTAGTGACAAAACGCAACACAAAACGCTGCCATGGGACTGCAGCCTTAGAGTTCAGTAAAAGGCCTTTCTGCAATATACGGAAGCTTCTATGCGTCACCACTAAGCACTCACTCGCTTTACGAGGTACGATTGAATCGACCCACTCGTGCGTGCCTCGTAGTGTGCTTCGTAGCGTGTTCCGATCCGTATCTTACGGAAACTTTGACGATGCTTATTTGTTTTGATTGCAAACCCAGTATAATTATTTTATTGTTATTACCGTGTTTTAAAAAAGAAATGACATCAAATGTAAAATTATCTGATATACTTAATCAAACAATATTCATATTCTTGATAGATTTTATTAAACAATAGGATTTTTAATGTGCTTTCGTTTTATTAGTTTAAGGTTAATATATGATCGTTTTGTTAAAAACAAAATAAAAAAATTATTTCTGAAATATTCAAAATCCTGTACATTTCTATCCAAAATTGAAAAATCAATAAAGCTATCAAGTTTGGATACAATTTCTATCAAAATTAATAATAAAAGAAAATTTAATAATTTGCTGTCATGATATATGATAAAAATTTTATCAATTTCTATCCACTTATGAATCCAATAATTTCCTATCAAAAAAATTGGATTAAAAATTTACCAATTTTTATCCGCAAGTAAATCTAATAATTCCTTAACAACGGTTTTGATAAAAATTCTATCCAAAAATCTAATAGTTTTCTATCATAACGGTTTTGATAAAAGTTCTATCAAATTCCATCCTACGAAAAATCTAATAATTTTCTATTAAAAGATTTGTATTAAGTATCTATCCAATTCTATCACACACCAGGCTCCTGAGGCGAATAGGTTTTACAAAACTGAATGCAAAATCGCGGCAACTGAGGTTTGATTTGTACTCACAGGTCACACTAAAAATTTATTCAGAACGAAATCCTAGCGCTCGGGTTCGCCAAATATACATGTTTAACATCAGCGTAACAGTATATAAGTTTATTTGAGACATTTAATAGCTGATTTAATTGATCATTAAATTATTTTTTAAATTATTATATAATAATATAATATTATAGAAAATAAATATAATTAATATATAAAAATTAAATGAATGATTAATTAAAATGATAATGAATGACATGAAATTAGAGGTGTGCAAAAAGCTCGAATTTCGAGCCGAGTCGAGCCCGAGCTTGACTCGAGGTATCGAGTGCTCGAATTTTTCGAGCACTCTAGTGAATTCGAGCACTCGAAGTTTTCGAGTTCTCGAAAATATTCGAGTACTCGAATGAATTCGAGCATATTAAACGTTCAATTTTTATTGTTTTGCAAAAATTATTAAATTAATCAACAGATAAATGAATTTCTACATATTTGAAATTACAAAATCATGAAAAAATAGTAAATAGCTTACAAACAATCGAATATTCAAAATCAATTTACACAAGTACTCGACTATTTTCGATTACTCGAAATTTTCAAGTACTCGAATTCACCCGAGTGATCGAAGTTACTCGAGTACTCGAAAATTTTCAAGTTTTTTATACAGCTCGACTCGAGCTCAAATTAATAATACTCGACTCGAAAAACGAAAAGCTCAAAAAATCTCGATCGAGTTTCGAGCTTTTTGCACATCACTACAAATTATACAAAGAAATAATAATTAAATTATAAAAATACTCTTTTTCGAACATTTTTATTTAAAATAGTAAAAGACTTATCAACAGATTATTTTTTAATTATTATTGTTTATATAATTTTCTCAAAGATTTTTAATTATTTTTATCAATGCACCTTTATTTTGAGTCCTTTAAATTTTAATGATCGCTGGAAATTATTTTTTTTTCTTGCATCATTTGGGTCCTAAAAACATACAGGATGGACAAAAAAATAAAATTTTAATTTTTGACCATTTTAGAAATTAAAGTCTTAAAAAAATTAATATTTTAAATATCTATCTTCTTTTACAATTTTGACTATTTTTCATTGACAATTTTTTTCCACGCTTTTTTAATGATTCTTAGGGCGCACTCACATCTCTGGCTGCCTGCACAGGCAGCCTCCCACCACGCAGAAAACGTACAAGAGTAAGAGAGACAGAAAATTCAAATTTAAATCTACTGACTCTCTGATTGGCTCTCACTGGCTGCCTGTGCAGGCAGCCAGAGGTGTGAGTGCGCCCTTAAGAATCTCTCGTATAGATTTCTAAAAATATTTAATTTTTTCAAAAAACTAGAAAAATATGAGTATTTTGTTTTCTTGACTATTCTGTATGTTTTCAGGGCCCAAAAGATGCAAGAAAAAAAATATAACTTCCAGCCACCATTAAAATTTAAAGGACTCAAAATAAAGGTGATGCCTTCTCTTAATTTTTATATAAAAATTTAACAGCGCTAATTTGGTTAAACGTGCATATTTGGCAAACCCGAGCAGCTAGGATTTCGTTCTAAACGGATTTTGACACTCTGAGGGACTACAATTCAAACTCCCACTTGCCAATTTCGCATTCATTTTTGTAAAACCTATTTACCTGAGGAGCAAATAAATCTATTAACTCATGATGGAAATACTAAAAATTAGTTTTTTAAAAAACGGCTGAATGGGTTATTTTAATTATTGTCGCTAAATACTCGGGGAGATCTCCAGTGTTGGAACCCACAAACAAATTCCATTTATTAGCAAGCGACTTTTTTTAAAATTGGTTTAAGCCCGCCGTCCCTCGAAAGCCTCCAACTTCCAAGTGTCATAAAAAAGTAAAATTTTTTAAAAGATGTTTTATATCTTCTACTTAAGTGTTTTTTACCCCTAAAAACCGAAAACGACTGGATCTAGCAAAACGGTACCTTTGATAGGTAGAATTTTCTTTGTAATTACCCAGTGGGCAGAAAACCATGTTCGCTCCAAAAACATTCTTAAAACGTTTTTAGAACGTTTCGTGTCTGTCAAAAAATGTTCTAGAACATTATTTGAACATCCATGTTCTTAAAATGTTTTAGAACATTATTTCGCAGACATAAAACGTTTTTAGAACGAACATGATTTTTTGCCCACTGGACAGTAGAACAACAAGGGAAAATTTTTGGATTCACAAAGTATTGATTTGGATATTCATTCTATTAAACTCATTTCATAAAATCTTAAAGAAACTCTTGAAAATTTCGTATTCAGAAACAGGATTGAAATGAATATCTTATGTAATATCTTATGCACAACTTGCATGGCAAACATAAAATGAAAGGTTTCAACGATGATTTGGTGTAAATTTTAAATTCTCTCTATAAATTTTTCTAAATTTTTTGCTATATCTAGATATAATTTAATATAATTCCCTAGATGCTTAATTTCCAATGTCAATTCAAAATTTTTTTAAAAATTTTTTACAAAGTATTTATTTTAAACAATACTAAAATATAAAATTATATTTAACTTGATTTTAATATTTTTATTTAATGATATGTTTGATATATTACCTATTATGGTGATTGTAGCTCAAAGTGTACATTTTAATAATATCTTTTAACAGGATATTAAGTTTAATTCCTGTAGTAATTCTGTTACTTAAAGTATCAGACTTGGAGCATTTATTTACAAGATTAATAAAGACAGGGTATTGACTCAAAATATTATCCGGTACATCATGTAAGAAACCCTCTGATATTTGGTTTTCAGTCGTCTTTCTGGCTAAAATATGCTGAAAATATATTCATAATTTATAAAAAGTTTCATAAAATATTTTTATGTTCCGAGTTATTGAAAAAACTATTTTGAGTTATATAACTGTTTTTTAGAATGGTTTTACATGAAATTGTTTTGTCATTCTGTGACTTTTTTTTATATTTTTCCTTTAATTTTTATAGAGTTCTTTTAATAATACTCACGTAATTGAAAGGATTAAGCTTTTTTAATTGTTTGTAAAAATTTATCATTCCACTCAATAGACATTACCAATTTACTTTTCAAAGTAATAATATTACTGTAATATTACGATTCTTGCATGTAATATTACTGTGATATTAAGGTACATGCTATTTGGGTACATTTTTATTCTTAGAATTAAATCATAACAAGTAAACGAACCTTGCATATAGTATAATAGTTATGGTCGCTAACTTCGTGTGCACAAATGTCTGATGGAGAAAATATTAAGCAATCTTCACAGCCAAAATCTGAGTCACTTCTATGAACGTCTTTCCAAGTTTCAGATTGATCTAAAAACATGAGACATACAATTTCTTGTGTTTTTTTCGTCTGTATTTTTCACTAACTGACACTCTTATGTCCATTTTAAAGTAGAAATTATTTAAAGAATAGATTTTTTTTCGATAATAAGAAACAAAATATCTTTTTAATTTGTACAGCAGATTTATATTTAGAGTTTGATTTAGACCGAAGATTAAAAGTTATATAATTTTTATATCACTTTCTATCTTAGAGATAAAAGGAGATAAAAAATTATAAGATTTCTATCTCTTTACTTCCAGCTGGGATATTAAATTATAATAGTTTTTCTGTTATTTTGGGATTTTTGTATCTTCGAATTGAAAGTTAAACCGACTTTTCATATCGAAGAATTTTTATTTAACTGAATTCTTATTTAACAGAATTTCTGTTTACTTGACCTTTTATATACCAGATCCTTTAGTACATCGAACTTTAATTTAACAAGATATCTAATTAACAATAAAGAAAAAAAAATCATTATATCGACGCCTCCCGTTGATAAGATGCCCGTTCATTTGTCAGAATAATAAAATGCCAACTCGAGCTCAGTTCAATATGAAGCTAGTTCATTAATTAATTAATCATTAAAAAGTATGAATTAATATTCTGATCGACTTAAACTTCTTTTTTAATTTACGAAAACTTGAATTCGAATTTAATGCGAGATAGGATTATATTATACGGAAACTGAGTTAGCCTTTTAGTATTTTGACAACTGAACTAGCTTCATATTAAACTGAGCTCGAGTTGGCATTTTATTATTCTGACAAATGAACGGGCATCTTATCAATGAGAGGCGTCGATATATAGTATTTAAAATATTTGAAATCAGTAATGTACCTGCGATAGATGTTTTTTTATCAACCACAATAACATTCTCCAGGTCAATAAATTTAGCAATGTTATTGGAATCAACGGCAATATTATCGAAAGAAACATCTGTTAAATAATATGTAAAATTTTCATCTTGAAAAGTAAATGTGTGTGCTGCATTAAGTAAGCTAGAAGCTATTTCTGCTCTTTGAATCCAATGTTTATTATAAAATTCAGAAAGAGCAGGGCCCACAAATTCTTCAATAACTAATCTTCCACATGCTCCATAGTATTTAGGAACAGGCCATCCCAGTCTTGCAGGTAAAATCTATTTAAAAAGTCTTAATTAAAGATAGAAATACTTTTCACGTGAAAATAATTGTTAAGATTAACAAAAATATATGGTGGATTTCATATCAAATGCCCACCCTAAAAAAAAATTTTGTCCAAACCATCTTCGTCAATCATTTATTTTAAAGCTTACATCTTTGACTTGAACGATACATAAGAAAAAATTTAAAAAAATTTTTTGTTCATTGTTTAATTATTATATAAGGTCAAAATAAGGCAAAAAAATTTTTCTCTTTTAATTTTTCAATATTTTTTTTTACTATTTCTACACACAAGAAGGAACATTTTTTCTCTTAACAATTTTTTTCAAAAATCAATTGTTCTCAAGTTATCAACAATTGAAAAAATTGTTTTTTAAAAAAAACAAATGTTTTGTTGTTTTTTAAACAAATGATCATATTTTCCTTAACCCTTTCAGTCATATATTTTTCTATTCAACAAATTTTACGGATCACTGTATCCTTTAGAGTTTTTGGGGTCGCTAATCACGAATCTGAAATCTGTTTTTTAAAATTCAAAATGGCGGATCCAATATGGCGGACCACTTTACGAAAACTTGATCCGATTCGTTTGATAAAGTCATTACTCAGGGGTTTTCTGGGTCTTTGATTACGAATATGAATTTTGTTTTTGAAAATTCAAAATGATTTGTTGCTTAAAACTATAAAGTCGGTTTTCAAAAATTAAAAATGTATCCAATATGTCAGACAAATATATTAAAAATTGATTTGTAATATTTTTCATTTCGCAATGATAAACACTTAAAAACCAAATTGATAATCGGAGCACAATCGAATAAATTTTTTAAAATTTGTAACGAGTCCTGAGTAACGAGTTTCAAACGAATCCGATCAATTTGTAAATTTTAAAACTAGAAAAATGTAAGTGGGTCTGTCGTAGAATAATTTTCAAAAAAGCGTTTGAAAGATGATAAAATAAGCTTTTAAAGACCGTTTCAAAAATTGAATTGTGATGATTTGTTCAAAATCTGTATCAATTTGAAATTTACAAGAAAAAAATGGATAATCCTTAGACGGGGTTTTCGGGGTCGCTGAATTCAAATTAGATTTAAAATTTTCAAAATAACGGATCTAATTTGACGGACACCATTTTTTGAATTGATCGGATTAGTGTGATACTAGTTATTCAGGAACATAAAAAGAGTGTGACGCATGAATAAGCTCTAAAATTTTTTTTTTTGAATTATGATTTGATACAAACTTATTCTGTAAAATATTTATTTGTTGGAATATTAATGTTTTCAAAAATCCAAATGATCTAAAATCAATTTGACAGAATTTTTATTTAGACGAAAATTAATGTTCCAGAAAATTTAAATTGTCGAAAATCAATTTTTGCCAGAAATAATTCGGCGGAAACTCCAAATTTGACCAATCAGAAAATAACAAGAAAATTGTGATTGGTCAAATTTGAAATTTCCGCCGAATTATTTCTGGCAAATTGATTTTCGACAATTTAAATTTTCCGAAACATTAATATTTGAGTAAATGAATATTCTGCAAAATTAAGATTCATTTAAATCACAATTCTGCAAAACTAATATTCTACGAGATAACGTTTCGATCAAATTGAATTTCTGGAAAATTAATTTTCGTCTAAATAAAAATTCTGTCAAATTGATTTTAGATCATTTGCATTTTTTAAAACATTAATATTCGAAAAAATAAATATTTTACAGAATAAGATTCTATTAAATCATAATTCCAAAAAATATTTTTAGATCTTATTCATGCGTCCCAAAAAGTTTCAAAATTGGAGTTTCAAAAAACGGTCATTTTTTGCATGGCGCTTAAGGGAGGCTCTTTGTCTACTATCAAGTGAAACTTTGGGGCCGTCCATAAACCACGTAGCCAGTTTAGGGGGAGGGGGGGGGTTCAGTGAAATTCTACGGTAAACTACGTGGGGGAGGGGAGGGGTTCGAGCCATGACTACGTAGTTATATTTATTAAGTCATTTATTTTGATATTTTTTAAATTGCGCGGGTAATTCCAATGTCGAATTGAGCGATATATGAATATAAAGTAGAATTTTTGTAAAATAAAATATTTATAAATTATTTTAAAATGATTATTATAAACTTGATGAAAATAAGAAAAATAATTGGGTCTCACGAATAATATGCCATGAAAATTATAAAATTGCATTTTTAGTGTTTCGAAATCACCTGCTTTTAGAAATATTACTTAATCAAAAAAAATTAATGCAAACAATATTGTAAACAAATTTTTATTAATTAAGAATTCCACAATTTACTAAATTTTCATTCATTGAAATTTTTAATTAGCTATATTTTTATTTATCATAATTATTAGAATGAATTTCACTTTGTCGATTTTGCTGCCAAAACCAAATGCTAAATACATTATTATTTCATTTTAACAAACATTTAACTGGTAAGAATGTTTCAGTTAAACTTATTTTTATTAGAATTAATTTTTAATAGAAATTAAAAGTTATGTAATGTTAATATTATTAATTAATTATTCGAATTACTATATAATTTGAAAATTATATAACGTAAAATCTTCATTAAAAGTAATTTTTTCTTATTAAAAAACAGGCGTAATATTCTTACAGATGAAATTTTTGTTAAATAAAATTTAAATCCCTTCAGGTATTAAAAAGTGTGTAAAAGCATATTTAAGAGCATTTAATTTATTGAAACAAGTTGTAAATTCAGATGTTCATTACATAAACATTTTGCTTCCTCTTTACGATCAGCAAAAAAATTTGCTTCCTCGTGGAGAAATCCAAATTTTATTGCCAAAATGTGATTTTGATTTTTTAACTTTCATTAATTCTTTAAACTTACCTCAAATGTATACTTTATATATATCGATCGATTCGTCTTGACGTAAGAAATACGATTTTATTATATATAACCTTAAATTTTTCTATTTAAACATTTTTTCGATTAAAAAAAAATTTGTGGATAAAAGACGATAAAATTTTTTTTTGGGGTATTTTTCAAAATCCTTTGGTCAGATTTGAGATATTAATATGATAAATGAGCCTACCAAATTTTATCTAAATCCATTAAGACCTGTTAAACTTATCTTCTAAACAAAAAAGGGATCCACACGCACATACATATCCGGACAATTGATCAGGATCTCATATAACATGTTTCTATAAAGAAAAAAATTTGTTTCCGCCACTTTGAAAAGTTTTATAAACGAAAGGACTACAAAGCTTCCTCCGCGAGGAAGCAAAAATCATTAGTATAAATTATTTATTATTATTTTATTATTATTTATTATTATTAGTATAAAAAATTAAAATTAAAATTCCTTTTGTGTTCTTAAATTGAATTCTCTTTATTGGAAATTATTATCTATTCAATAGAAATACATTTTTAAATAAGTAAAAAAAAACTACGTTCTACCAGTGGAGGGGGGGTTTAGAGCGAAAGTCTACGTTGGTCTACATGGGGGAGGGGGGGTCAAAAAGTGCCAAAAATTGGCCTACGTGGTTTATCGACGGCCCCTTTTAATTTGAATATACTTTTTATCCAAAAAAGTAATTAATGGTTGTCAATTGGTCATTGAAAAGTTTATAGGCCCAATATTTTTTTAAACAATTTTATGTTGATTATAGGGCACATTGTTTATAGCAATACCTGCAGCATAAGTGCTTCTGGATTTATTTTCAGTAGGGTCCAAATATTTTGATAAGAGAAGTTCTTGCTATTAATTACATTTGCCAAAAACAATTTTATATTCTTTGTAGTTGGACAAAGACGCAGTTTACTTAATGTGTCACTCATATTTGTAGATACAATTTCTTTAATAAGATTTAGAAAATTAATGTCTTTTTTCTCCCTAAATACAATACTCATTTTATCGAATTCATCCAGCTCTGAATTGCTTGCAAGCTGTTTCAAAATCAATTTTTTATTTCTCATTTTAACATAATAAACATTCTTTGTTCCAAAATAATTAGAAAACAAAACAGATAAATCGCTATAATCAAAAGAAAGTTCATTAATATCCATTAAATAACAAGCTGTAAGACCATAACAAAAAGGACACTTCTCTATATCCTTGGACTCGATGATATTTTCTAAAGAATTCATTGAAATTATAAAAATACTCATACTGAGAACAAAACTGGCAATGATGTAATATTTCAATTTCAAATATTTAAAAAGAATCACATAAATTATAATCAAGAAAAAATAAAAATACATAATTGATGAGTATCACATGTGTATAAACAAACATAACCATTTTGACAGTTCGAGCCGAACGGCAAATATAACGTGGAACCTCTGAAATGTGACACGTCTATTTAAGGAGCTTCTACAATGCCAGTTCTCTAATGGAGCATTTACACCTTTCGTAAAAAAAAATTTTTATTTTGATTTTCGGAAATGCAAAGATCTGATTGGTTGTCCATTATCAATCAGATTGTGAACAACCAATCAGGTTTGTGTATTTCGGAAAATTCAAAAATAAAAAATTTTTTTACCAAAGGTGTAAATGCTCCGTAAGGGTCGGCTACAGCTTAGATATCTAATTGTAAGTAGGGTCGTCATGGTAACGTATAAGAGTGAAAGAAATAAAGAATGTTCTTATTTCAAGGAGCTTCTACAACAACTTGCATCGGTACTTGTAGTAGTAGTATTAAATTTAACGTTGGCACCCATACTGCATTGCGCATGTATATTTGGCCATCGGTACTTGTATCTGTTTTTGCTTTGCATTTGCTACTGCATGTGCGCGTGCGCATCAATTTTCATTTACGAATATTAAATTAATTAATGAATTACTAATTAATTAAATGTAATTAATTAGTAATCCTATTATATATTAAATTAATTAATTAATAATTACTAATTAATTACATTTAATTAATTAGTAATTCATTAATTAATTCTATATTTGATATCTGGAAATTGATGTTCGCGCTCACATACAAGATCAAATGCAAAGCAAGTGCAGATACAAGTACTGATGCAAATTGTAGAAGCTCCTTCACTCACTCTTATATGTTACCATGACGATCCTACTTATGGACGCAAGCTGAATGACAGCTTTACATTGTACAATTTAATTTTTTAACTATTAAGCTAAAATGAAATATTTAAAATTAAGATTTTATTTTCTATTTTTAAAAAACTATCTAATGCAATAATAAAAAACGATTTAATTTTTTGTATTAATTTTTTTATTGCATTAGATAGTTTTTTAAAAGTAGAAAATAAAATCTTAATTTCAAAAATTGCATTTAAGTGAGATATTTAAAAAATTAAGTAAAGCTGTCACACAGTGAGGAAAACCGTTAATTTTTGTATCAAAATCGAAGAACTCTTGACAGAATTAATATTAATAAAAAAAATTGGAGATGAAAGCTGTGACTCTACAGATTAGAGGAAAAATAAGGCCTAAGCAGAATGAAATCTTTAATCGTAAATCTTAAGCTTTTACATGAGAGAGAAAAGGATAAAAGATATTTGGGTGATTCTCTCAAAAAGAACAAATTATTTGTGCACAATTTTTGGACGAGGTTTTTGTTAAAAAATAATAACATTAATTTCAATTAATAAACATTCTCCCAGCCATACGATAAAATTCAACAAATTTTTATGGGATCACTAAAGAAAATTTCAAAAAAATGGCAAACAACTGAATTATTGAATGAAAACTAGTGTTAAAACTCCATTCCGTAACATCAGTTTTTATTAAATATTTCAGTTATTTTACCTTTTTTTAAAATTTTCTTTAGTGGTCCGATTGAAAATTGTTAAATCCTAACGTATGGCTGACAGAATTTTAAATAATTTCAATTAATTTTCATATTTTTTAACAAAATATCTTAAAAGCGTAATTTGTCCTTTTTGAGAGAATCACCCATTTCTATCCTTTTCTCTCTCATGTAAAAGCTAAAGATTTACGATTAGAGATTTCATTCTGCTCAGGCCTATATGGAGAAACCTTTAAAAAATTGTGCAAAGTTAAATTTCACTGGAAAAATTGTTTTTCAATGTACTGCGAACGTAAAAATGTTGAAATCATTGTTTGTATCGACTATACTTACGTATTTTTTTCATGCTGAATACGAATCCAATGCCAGAATTAGTGAAAAAAATCGAGGAATATAAATCCGCCATGTTTTTTTGGTAAAATGATAGCGAATATGACCTCAGAAATTTGAAGTTCTAAATGGAAAATCCAATATGGTCGACTTCAAGGGGTCAAAATATTTCTGCACTGAACAAAACTCATGTTTTTTTTATGTTTTTGGGGTTGCTGATAACAAATATGACTTCAGAAATTCAAAATGGCGGATCCAATATGGCCGACTAAAATTGACAAAATGCTTCTGTTCTAAACAAAAATAATATAAAATAAATATAAAAAACACTTTATTTTTGTTTAGAACAGAAGCAGTTTGACATTTTTAGTCGGCCATATTGGATCCGCCATTTCGAACTTTGAATTTCTGTGGTCATATTCGTCATATTCGCAACCCCAAAAACATAAAAAATATGGTGGATTTTTTTCGATTTTTTTCATTAATTCAGGCATTGGATTCGTATTCAGCATGAAAAAAATACGTATAAGTATAGTCAATACGATTTTGACACAAAAATTAACATTTTTCCTCACTGTGTGTCGTACAGCTTTCGCCCATCTTGAATTTTCCCCCTCTCAAGTTGAACTACCTAATAACAGTTGCCCCACCACTATTGCCAAGTTATTCTATCCCTCCTGTTTCTAGTTTTCTTGAGCGGGGAGGTACATTGAAGTTTAGTTGTTTATATTTTGCTGAATAGATTGGGTTATGGTAAAAATGACGAGTCATGAGGAATTAATTGCCCAATTTTCGGATGTGACTGGTGTAGAAGCTGAACGAGCTCAATTTTACTTAGAATCTTCTGCATGGCATCTTGATGTAAGACAAATCGTCATCAAATTTATAATTATATTTTTCTTTGTTTTAAATTTTAATGATCTGAATGGGGTAACAGGCTGAAGACAATAATTCTTAAAATTGTAATTTTATATAAATTGGCTGCAATGTTAAATATAAAAGTTGTTGATATTTTATTAAACTTTAAAAAATACAGTGTGACAAGTGCTAATTCATTTTTTTAATTCGAATAGTAAAATTACGTGATTTTTGAATCAGTTTAAAAAATGTAATATTACTGCTTACAATTTAATAATATAAACAATTTTACAGTACTTGTACAAATTTTACTGTTTTTAACTAGTAAAATAAATCGTGTATAAAACTCAGAAGTAAATTTTTTCCTTTTTTCAATAGTATGTAAATTTGTTTTATTTGTTTACAGTGGAATATTGCATTGACCAAAATGTACTTTTACAAATGTTAATTAATTATTTTGAAATTGGATATAATATTTTAAATGTGTGTTTTGTACAACTTTTGTAAAAGAACAAAGTGAATTTTAAAAATCGATAAATATTATGTATAGAATGAATAGGTAAAATTACATTTAAAAATTTTTGTAATTTTCAATGTACCAAGAATATAGATTTTAAATTGTCATGACGTATGATTGAAAAAAAAAATTTAATACAATTTTACACATTCAACGTTTTAGCGAGAAAAATCACTGTTGATTGTATCGTTCAAACATGATATGGTAACTTGACATTAAGGTTATGTATATTTAATAACGAAGTGTAAAAGTACAATGACTTGTAAATTTAATAAGTTATGATAAAATATTATAGGAACAATGTCAAAAAAGAAAAATAAATGGTTAATTGGGGCGCAAAATTATCCCTGAAAATTCATTAGTGAGAATTTTCATTTGAAAGAAATTTCTTTTTTTCGAATTAACATTTGACAGAATTTCTTTTTAACTCTTTAACGACCAAATGTGCTGACTTTTAATTTTGATTTCAACCTCGTATTAAAAAAAAACTAGGAAAAATTGTGGAAGTACATTTCCGACTGTTTTTTGGGGTCCCTCGGATTATAAAACTTTTTCTGACTTTTTTTCGAAAATATGACTTTTTTCGACTTATTTTAACAAGATGCGACTTTTTTTTATATTTTTTTTAGAAAAATGTAAACAAAATACGTCTTTTTTAGTATACAATGCAAATCTTCTTTATTTCAATTATTTAACAAATTTTTCTCTAAATTAATTATTTTTAATAATTTTAATGAAATTCTTCAGAAATTCAATTATCTTAAACTAGGTATTTTTCATTTAAAACATTTAAACAAATATAATTACCAAAAATTTCAATTTAAAACATTTTAAAATTTAATTATTTTAAAAATTTTCCATCCAAAACTTTGTGAAATTTAATAATTTTAATTATGACTTTTCCGAATTGTCAATTATTTTTAATGATATTTATAATATTTTTCAAAAATTCAATTGTGTGAAAGCATGTTTTAATTAAAAAATTTTTAAATTCAATTTTTGTCTGCAATTTCTAATACATTTTTCAGCAGGAGAAATCACTAAAAATTTCAATTAAAAATCACTTGAAGTTAAATTAATTTGAAATATCTGAATAGTAAATCTTTAAAAATTCAATTACTAACAAAAAATGTTATCTAAAATTATTTCATAAATTATTTTCAATACTGTAAAATTTAATTATTTTCTGAAATTTAACAAAATCTTTTGAAATTTAATTATTTCTAAAAATTTCAACTATAACTCTTTCAAAGTTGAATTATTTTTAATAATTGCTTCCTCTCCTCACGAGAAAGCTTTGTATTCGTGACAATTTTCGATTTTTTAAAAATGAGTTATATGGGCTTATTTTTATCTAGAATGCATATATTTGAAGTTTTAAACAAATGTCCGGATGTATGTGTGTATGTCACAAAATCTTGTGTACAAATTATCTCTCATATACTTCGATGGATTGTCCTGAAATTTTATAGGCTTATTACAGTCATCAATACCTAAAATCAGACACAAGGATTTCCAAAAATATCCACATAATTTTTTTTATGTCACTTTTTCAAAAATTCGAAAATATGTTTTTTAACAAAAAATTTGTTGACACTGTAAATATAATTTTTTTATTCAAAAAACTGATTTCTCGCATTAAAACAAATTGATTAATCTATATAAAGTCTATATTTTACTTAAAATCTATAAATTATATCATTTCTTAATTTTTGAAAAAAAATTTTTTTTCGTATTCTTTGAAATAACTTTTTTTTTTTATGAAAATTTTTAATAAATTCTGTCAAAACCGTATTCCTGGCATGAAAACGAATCGATTGATGTATATAATGTTTACTTTTTACCAATATTTGTAAAATTGATCGCTATTTTAGTTGTAATCCTTCTTTTAATCTTGAATATAAGTGTATCATGATGAGGAAGCTAAATGGTCATCAATTGAACACCTTGTTTTAATATTTCTTTAAAAATTAAATTATTTAAAAAAAGTTTTGAAATAAAAACTCAAAAATTTATTTTTTTTTAGAAATTTGTCTTATTTAAAATTGAGGAATTAATTAAATGGTTTTAATATCTAATAACATTAGTTATTTAAAGTAAAATACTTATTAACTAATTAAATTTAATTAAAATATACAAATCGGCTAAAACAACTTTTTTTGTCCCTTAAAGTTTTTTTTTTTTATTATGTTCTTTTAAGGTAGATCCAAAAATAACAATATCTTATAAAAATACAAAACATGCATTGTCAATTATTCCTTGAAAAGCGCTATCCATCATTCTTCGAAAGGTGGTTGGAGCGTTTTTTAAACCGAATGATTATGATTATGATTAATAAATATCTATTTTATAGGTTGCCCTTGCAAGTTTTTACGAAACTGATGAACAAGGTGCAACAGCAAGTGGAGTAACTGAAGATATTATTTCAACTGAAGATACACAGGAATCGAGCAGCAGTGAACAGCAGTCGAAAGAAGTTAATCAGGCGAAGCATAGTACTACAACTAAACAGAAGATTGCAACTCTTAAAGATTTACAGAAAAATCACAATAGTTCTGATGAAGAAGAAGGCCAAGCTTTTTATGCTGGTGGTTCCGAAAATAGCGGACAGCAAGTTTATGGACCAGGAAAAAAAGATCTCATATCAGAAATGTTTAAATCGTGTAAAGAACAATCACTTTCTATAGAAAGCAAATCAAGAAAAGATAAGAGTGGAAATTCTTTTAGTGGCACTGGATATAAGTTAGGTCAAGCAAGTAATGATGTTGAAGGTAGATACTTTAATATCTCACATAGTGGCTTTTAACAAAATAATCTTAATTAGTTTAACTATAGATCTTTTTACACAAAACTCAAAAAGTATTCCAATTTTTTCTGTCGAAAGATGTTTTTAAATAAACAAATTAAAACTAAAGTAAAAAATTGTTTACGTTGCAGTTTCTAAATATTTGTTATTTTATGAATAGTTGTTGCTGCACCATCTTCGGCTCAAGAAGCAGATTGTACTCTTATTACATTAAAACTTTGGCGTAATGGATTTACCATTAATGAAAGAGGTCTTAGATCATACAATGACCCAAAAAACACAGAATTTCTAAATGCTATAAAGCGTGGAGAAGTGCCTCTGGAAATTCAACAAGAAATTCATGCAGGGGAAGTCCGCCTTGACATGGAAGATCATCGCAACGAAGATTACACTCCACCAAAAATTCAGCTGAACGTCTTTTCTGGGAAAGGATATACCTTAGGAAGGTAGAAAGTTTTTTTTATGAATTATGTTTATAAAAATTACACTAAAGTGATATCTTATTTTCAAAGCCAGCAGAACTAAGCCTGTAACTTTATAGATTCGATTCGGACTTTTTAAATTCACAGGAATGAATTGTGTATTTTCACATTCTAATCCCTGCAGATAGCGCAGGGATTCTATTAGATTGATGAGGAAATTGTCATTTTGAAAATATTTACTTAAAAAGATAATAAATATTTTTCTATTTATTTTTAGTCCATCTCCTGCTACGGTCAGCTTGCCTGTAGCAACAAATATAGTAAATGCAGATGCCTTAGAAAGTCAAGCGAGGACTGATTTAAATTTTGATGCCAGTAATCCATCGACAACTATACAAATCCGTTTTGCTGATGGCAGTCACATAAGAGAAAACTTTAACTTATCTCACACTATTGGTGATCTTCGGCGATTTATAACAACGTATCCTTTTGAAAGTAAATTTATTAATTATAAAAGTCATTCTTGCTCAAGTGGGCCACCCCTTTTCTTCATTTTAAATTTAATCCAAAAACATTTTATAATAGCTCAAATTAAAGGTAAAAATGTCAACTTTTCATTGCTGTGTGGCCCTTTTTGAAATATTGAATTTCAAAAAAAAAATATATATATAGAGGAATAAATGACCAAAACCACAGTTTTCAATTTTCTTTCTTGGTCAAATATAAAGAAAAAAATAATTTTCAACATTATACAAGGCCTCCAACGTTAAAAAAGGTGAAACGTTTACGAAATTAAAAAAAAAATTGAAATTTCATCACATTCAAAATGGCGCATACAATATGGCGGACGAAAAAAATGAATAATCAATCGGATTTGCTTAAAATTTGTTACTCGGGAGTTTTAAGTGTGGCTGTTTACGAATTTGATGTCAGATTTTCAAAATTCAACATGGGAGATATTTCGGAAAAATTCATCGAATTTGCAAATATAGTAGATATAAAACTAAAAAAATAATCGTATTTACCTGAAACACGTTATACAGTGTCTTTTGCAGTTGCTGATTACGAATTTAAAACAAATTCAAAATGGCGGACGTAAAGCTGACACTTTAAAAAAAATTACATCGAACTCGTAATCAACATAACCACAAAAACCCCTGAGTGACAAGTTTCAAACTAGTTTCAACAATTTTTTTAAAAAGTATCATCCACTTTAAATACACATTTTGAATTTTTAAAATGCGACTTCAGATTCGTCGTCAGCGGCCACGAAAAAATCCGAGTTTTAGGCAAATTTGAACAAATTAAAAAAATGTCTGACATATTGGATCTGCCATTTTGAATTTTAAAAAACTGATATCGAATTTGTAATCAGCGACCCCTAAAACCCCCGAGTAACAATTTTTGAGCAAATCCGACTAATTTTTAATTTTACTTCCGCCATATTGGATTTGCTATTTTAAATTTTGATAATTTGACATCAAATTCGTAAACAGCCACACTTAAAACTCCCGAGTAACAAATTTTAAGCAAATCCGATTGATTATTCATTTTTTTCGTCCGCCATATTGTATCCGCCATTTTGAATTTAGTGAAATTTCAATTTTTTCTTAAATTTCGTAAACGTTTTACATTTTTTAACGTTGGAGGCCTCGTAGAATCATCGGTGGCGATGATGATTTAAGGGTTGAAAATATGAGTTGAAATATTAATTTACTAATAAAATCTAATGTGACCTAGAAAATGACGTAACAATGTTGTAGGAAAATTTCAGAACAGAGTACAACATTTCTAGAACATTTGAGATTTGCATGTTGAAGAAGACTTTAATAAAAATATTTATATATAGAGACAATTTTTGTGGGTTCGGAACTTTAGATCACTCTCTATGTATTTTGGCCTGATTTTTTTATGTTTAAGTTTTTTAACTCTCTGCCTACTAAGATGACCGTTATCGATAAATGGAACACCTGGATTAAATAATACCATGTTTAATATTTTATTTCCTTAATGTTATATCTAGTTTAAGACCTCAATATGCATCAATGAACTTCAGTATCCTCACTGCTTATCCTACGAAGGAATTAAATGAAGAAAGTGTTACCGTCGCCGAAGCTAATTTACATAATTCAACTGTTATTCAACGACTAAAGTAATTAATTATGGAATATTCTATTTATTCAATTTAAAAAATTTTGTTACACGAAATTAATTTACCCTTTGGCTATTTTTAATTATATTTTACGTTTATAATTAATTCATCTAGAAATAAAAATATAGAAAAAAGTTTTTTGAATAAACAAATCATACAATTTTTGTATTCTTTTCTCATTCGTGTGTGTCTTAGGTGTAATAAGTGAGAATTACTTTTCCAAAAATTTTGAATCCTTTCAACTCTTTCCATAATTATTTGATTCGAAATTTTATGATTTCGAATAGGTTTTACAAAAATGAATGCAGAATCGGCAAGTGGGTTTGAATTGTACCATATCAACGGAAGAACAAGCTGATTTGACAATTTGACATAATTAATGACTTTATTCTGGGAATATATTTTCTCCAACGCCTGCTCGGCAAGTGCAACTTTCTTGGTTAGAAAAGTATTTGGGAAGTTGAATATTCATTAACTCCTCGGCCGAGCGTGGGGAAAGTAAATCGTAATTTTTTTAGTTTTTCTTTGATAAATAATAAATAAATAAATAATAATAATAAATAAAACATTGTTCATTTTTAAAAACTAAATAGTTGTCATTATATATAAAGCATATATACATTGTTAATTCTTCCTAACTAATAAAAATGCATTTCCTCGCGAAGCGTTGGAGAAAACGTCGTGTGCGACACGTGGGAAAGAATGATTTTTCTCGAGTTGCACAATGTACTATTAAATACAACCGTCCGGAATTGTCGATACACCTCACGTTCGAGGAGTGGGAATTTGATGCTGACTTTAAAGCAGGATATTTTAAGTTAGAAAAAAGTTATAGACTTGTAACTTATATGGTTGGAAAGCTCATAAAATTCTGCGTCTGAATGTATATCAAGAAAATTTTTTTTCTTCTTCTAGGGTAAGTGTACCAATTATGGCGAGTGCATCAATTACGGCGCGTTCATAAAAAATAACTATTATTACTATTATATTTAATATAACTGTTGCAAAATGATTAAAAAAAATTATTTTAATCCTTTTTTGATACAATTACTTATAAAGATGCACATTTAAACAATTATTAATTTAATTATTTGAGATCAAATTTTTTTCCGCGCCGCAATTGAAACATTTTTAAGATTTCCATTGGCACCAATTTCGGCGAGCAAAGTATCTTTAAAATACACGTAATTATGGTCACCGAAACTGATACAAACGCGCCGCAATAGAAAATTACGGTATTAATTTTAATTTCTCATATTTGTTTAAATAATTGATTTTTATAAAGTTAAAATTTTTTTTTAATATCTAAATAATATAAGCTTTTAGTTTAATAAGTCTTAAATTGCGTTTATACAATAGAAATGTCGAATTTTCTACTTCAAAGGTGTTTTGATTCGAATCGCTCCGCAATTAGTGCATTTATTCTAGCATTTATAACACCGAAAAGATTTCAAGAAAAAATTATTCAATTTTCCTACTTTCGTACGAATGTTTTTGACTCCTGGCGTAATCTAGAATAATGTATAGAAAAATTTGACAATTTTATAATAATTATAATCTTTAAGGTCTTAGCTTTAATTTGCATTTTTGAAACTTAAAAAATGTTTTGTGGTTCCTGAAATATGTTAAAAAAGGTACGAGCTTGTTTTTCTTCAACTCAGTCGTCGATCATCAGTTTTCGCCGCCTCGCTGCTGGGTTGTAGAAAAACATACTCAAACATTTTTCAGGAAACTAGTTGTCCCACTAAATACAAAGAAAAATCTATCAAAGCGAATTATTAAAAATTTTCCCATTCATATCCAATTATTTGATAAAAATTCTATCAAATTCTATCAAAACTAAATTATTACAAATTGTTTCTATTCCTATCAAACTATTTGATGGGAATTTTATCAAAAACGAATTATTAAAAATTCTTTCCATTCATATCCAAAAATTTGATGAAAATTCTATCAAATTCTATCGAAAACGAATTATTAAAAAATTTTTTTATTCATATCCAACAATTTGATAGAGATTTTATCTCTATCAAGACAAAGTAAAATTAGGTAAACGACAAAAATTTTTATTTTTTGGTAGATAATAATAACGTTAGGTGGCGCTTAATTTATTTACAATTTTTATTTTAATTAAGCATATTTAAATCTATGTTTAAACACATGTCATCAGTATGATTAAAAATAGTTTTCTTATTGATTCATGTATCTGCCCTTTAAGAAAAAATACGCCTACAACATAGGAAAGTAATAAGAAGACTTACAAATGTGATTTGTTTTTCTTGATCACATTCTTTATGTCGAGACAAGATAAAAGAAGCTGTACGGGTTGTCAATTTGTATTTTGAATTCGCAGTTGAGTTATTTTCAATTGTGCTACCTACTTCAATATTGGGTCGAACACATATTCCACCATTATTAGGTATTTTAATTATTTTATTATTAACTTATAACAATTATTTATTTATATATTTTACATATCAACATTTTTTTCATATCGTTTTTTAAAAATTTTAATTAATTATTAAAGTTAAAATCTTCAGACCGACAATGTTTTTGTCCATAAAATTTTAAAATGATATTGAAAGAAATTAAATTGAACTTATTTTCAATTTCTCCAAACCGATACAAAAAAATTGTACAGAAATGGAACTTCTGATTAGAATTCCATTTAAATCCATTTTAAAAACGTCTAATTCTGACTATTCAAATCCATTTTAATAATCTGTATATTAAATTCTATCAAAATCGAATTATTAAAAATTGTTTCAATTTCTATTCAACTATTTGATGAAAATTCTATCAAATCCTATTAGAAATAATGTTTGAAATTTTTTTTTCCCCACTTTTATACGGTGTTCATAGAAAAATTCTTTCAAATTCTATTAAAAATTATTTTCTGGAAAATCTTTCCATTTCTACTATACGATTATTTGATGATATCTGCTTTTTCCTCACTTTTCTTTAACATTTAATTTTCAACAAAGGTGAAAATCTCGTTATTTTTTATTTCTTTAAAATTTTAAATTTCCTTACATTAGTTTTACTTTCTTGATAATTTGTCTTCAATTGTAAGCTGTACACACCGTTTTTATGTCTGATGAGGATTATATTGTTATGGTTGAAACGAAAAAAAAGAAAAAAAAAACAAATGTGTTTTTTACATGACTCAGAAATAATAATTTTTTTCACGCATGTAATTCTCCACTGAGTGATAAATTCAGTAATATATAATGCGCTCTAAAGAAAGGGATCTAAGAAGCAAACGAGTTATAGATTATGTTTATGATAGTTTTACCTTAATTAATAGGTCTTCTTTGATTTTGTAAAATCGAAATCAATTTTTATTTATTATTTTGGATATAATGAAGACTTATAATCAAAATTTTTAAAACATAACCTATAATTTTTTGCTCTTTAGGTCCCTTTCTTTAGAGCGCGTCACATTTATTATTAATAAGTTATTGATTTAGTAGTGTATATAATATATGTATTGTATTCTTAATAAATTATTTCCCTTGTTATGTTATAGGTTCCCTTTTTCACGATGTCCTTACTCACTTACAAGATTTATTATCTGCTTTCTATTATTAATGAATGTGACAGCCCAACTAAATTTTTCAACTGGGTGGGGTAAAAGAAATCATAAGTTGCAAATAAAAAGAAATTCTATTTATTCCTCAGAACTTCGTTTATCAATGAAGAAACTGATTTGTGTGTATCGACTATTAAATACAAATTAATTAATGTATATTTCAAAATTGAATAATAATCACGCTTATTAAACAACTTTTTTTTATTTATAAATTATTGTTTAAACCTATCAAAATTTTGAACTAAAATTCAAATAAATACAATTTTTTAAACCAATGTTAAATGAGGTGTCATTTCAAAGTGAACAAAAACGGGATTTTTTATCAAAAATTGGTATGGCCAATATTAAATTTCAATAATTTTAGAGAAAATAAATATCAGAAACACCTAAAATACACGCAGATAATCGAGAATTTTTAACACTTTTTTGATCAAAATTTTTTTGTGGATTGTCTTTACAGTGAAGAACATTTTCTATAAGAATTTAACTTCTACCCGATTCTCGTAGAAGAGAAACAAATTTTTCTTGTTATTTTTTTTAAGAAAAATTCCATTTTTTTTAAGAAAAATTCCATTTTTCTCAAAAAGTACACTAGTTATAAAAAAATTTCCTAAATAAAAGTTGTTCCGCTTTAAAAGATGTAAAAAAATGTCTGTTGTCATATTTATTATTTTCCAGTATCAGTAACAATACTATGGAATTATTAAAAAAAATAGCAAAATTAAACGCGCTCAAGCGCGCCAAATTGAGTATTTAATTGTTTGTTATAAAGAAATTAAAGATTAATATTATCAATAATAATTTAATTTATTAGAATATTATTACATATTAAATCATAATAATGAAAATTATATGTTTACAGGCCTCGGATTATACGACTTTTTCCGACATTTTCTCAAAAATACGACTTTTATCGACTTATTTTAATAAAATGCGACATTTTTTTTACATTTGAAAAAAAAAATGTAAATAAAATACATTTTTTTAGTATAAAATTTATATCTTCTTCAGATCTTCTTCAATTCAATTATTTAACAAATTTTGAACTAAAATGATTCTTCACTAGATTAATTATTATTTTTAATAATTTTAATGAAATACATCACAAATTCAATTATATCAAAATTATTTTTCAATTAAAATTTTTAGGAAATTTAACAATTGTTTATAATTTAAAAAAAAATATCACAATAAAATTAAATTATTTTTTGAAAAATTTCAATTCAAAATAAACAAAAATTCAATTATTACCCGAAATTTAAATTCAAAATCAATTAGAAATCCAATAATTATAAAAAATTTTCAATTTAAAATTTAATTATTTACCAAGTTTTCAATTTAAAATGAAATAAAATTCAATTATTTTCTAAAATTTCTATTCAAAATTAATTATCCAAATTTTCAATCAAAAATGAACTTCAATTAAATTATTATCCAAAATTTCAATTAAAATTTAATTATTTCTCAAAAATTTTCAATTTAAAATCAAAAAAAATTTCATTATTCTCAAAAATTTGAATTCAAAACTAATTGAATTTTCAATAATTTGAATTTAAAAGCATCTAAAATTTAATTATTTCGAAAATTTTCCATCGAAAATTTTTTTTTTGAAATTTAATAATTTCAATTATAACTCTAAAGAAAATTCAATTATTTTTAATAAATTATCAATTATTATAAGTTTATAGCCCAATAACCCTCATCTTTGTCCTTCTCTTATTAATCAATCACAAAAATGCGTAAAGTAAATACTTTATGCACTGTTAAAAAAAGAGGCACTTTGCACATAGTTTTCAGTGTGTAAAATTCAACTTTACAGGTTAGTGTTGCAAAAATTTTTTTATAAAAACAAATTAATTTTCTTGAAAAAATTTTATTGAATTGAATTTTCACATTGGTGGTGGAATTTTTCATAAAAGTGATAAATGAAAAAAATCAAATAAAAACGGAACATTTTTGTGTGGCTGCCGGGACAAGCGACCACCGGAACTGAGGAAACCTATTACTTTTTTTCAACTAGTACAAGTTTCCTTCTTGAAACTTGTGAGTGAAGAAATTCAACAAATCTTGACAACAATTTGCTATTATCTATGAAATGGACCACAAAAGGTAAAGAACCCCAAGGGTTTTGAAAAATGGATGAAAAAAATCTTTCATTTAAGACAGTTATATCTAAAATATCGAATATAAAATTAATTTTAATTGAAATGAATTCAAAATTTAGATAAATCTCAAAAATTTGTCATAAACTTATTATTTTATTATTCTTAACAATAGTCAATGTTCAAACGATATAATAAACTATTTTATATTACTTTAAAATCTTCTTAATTTTGACATTTTATTATGTCTTTGCATACCCAATCTTCTCAATCTTCTCCAATACGCTTTTGTATTTTTATCCATTTCTTCGAGAGGAGGAAGTGGCCCAGTGCGAATGTTCCAAAGCCAATCTGGATATTCTGAATCTGGTTTAATTTCAATGTCTTTACCTTCCTTGAAAATATTACTTCCGCAAACAAAAGTAAGTAATTTATTAACATCGGTTTCGACTGGCAATAATTTTTTCGTAGCTGTAGGTCCTAATTTTTTTCCCGCTTTTCCTTTTTTACCTAGCGAAAGATCTGTAAACATTTAAAACTTAATTAAAATAATTTATAGTGGTAATATAATAATTTTAAATATAAAATTTTTAGTAAAAAAATTTAAGGATTTATAAATATTTATAAATTAAAATGTTCATAAATAAATACAAAAAAACCTTAAATAAAAACTTCAATCATTTAAAAAAAGAATACAGAAGAGTTTAGCAACTTTTTTTTTTATTATTTAACATCCTTGTAAATTAAATATCTTTAACAATTATAACTTTAAAATAAAATAATTCTATATAAATTCTTGGAAAATTAAATTACTTTTGAAATTTTTAATTTAAATTATTAAAACTAATGTCAAAACTTTTAAGTGTAACTGTTTCAAAATTAAATTATTTATATTAAATCGAAATAATTATATTATTTAAAAAACCTATGCGAATATTATGCTTCCACTTATCAATTTATGCCGCATTATGATTAAATTGGATTACGTTGCTTAGGAACTGAAATTATGCTTTTTATGCTTTTGAAAATTGCAAATATTTTTTGTTAGAGGGACTTTCTGGTTTACAGTTGACAAAAAAGACGCATTTAAAAACTTTTATTGTAAGAAAAGTATTAAAGAAATTGCATAAATTCTTTTTGGACATTGTTGCACATTAAATTGAGAAAATTAAAAAAAAAATTTTAAAGTGTATTTAGTTCAATTTTGTAACTGTAGGTGGCGTCATTCAAAAGGTACCCTTTTTTGGTGCACTTGATTCCGGACAACCAGTAACATATAAATTCAAAATTCAAACAGGAATCACTTCATAAAGGTTTATTCTATACAATAAATCTATAAAACGATTTTTTAAAAGTTTTTTTAAAATTTTTATGTACATTTTTTTCACAAATTCGCAAAAACGCCGTATTTTTGGGGCAATTTACCCCCGTATAAAATAACAGGGGGTATAAATATAAAATTTTAAAGGTTTATTCTCTAGTTTTTTAAATAAGGAATCGAATGATCATTGGTTTTTTAAAATAGGTTCGGTAGATTTCGAGAAAAGCCATGCACAAGTTTGAAAAATTTGTTTTTGAGAAAAACGCGTTTAAAGTTTTCATAACATAATACATTGAACCAGGACTGTCAAACGATTTTTGATTACAACTTTTGTTTTATTTTACATATTTTTCAAAAAACGTTTTGGGACAGTAATTTTATGCTACGAAGGGACATATTCAAGCAAAAAAATCGATTTTTTTGAAATTCTAAACCATAAAGTCCTCTTAATTAATACTATTTCAAATCCATATAACTTTTACAAAACTTTATGTATTTTAATTTGTCGATAGGCTTTTTTGTTCAGTTTTTCATGTAGTTTTTAATGTAAAAAAAATTTGTAACCCTTTTTTCAAACTTAACCCAAACTTTTATTTCTTAATACCTTACGACCCCTTAATTTTGTTTATTTTTATTTGATTTTTTCCAACAAAACTGTAAATAAATATAAGAAAGGAACAAAATTGGGTTTGAGAAAAAAATTTAAGAAAACCAATTTTTTTGCCCTGTTTTTCATATTTTCTCGCAAACCCAATGTTGTCCCATTTTTATATTTATAGTTTTGTTGGAAAAAGTCGGTTTTCAAATAAAAATAAGAAAAAATTTTTTTAAATAGGCACAAGGGGTCAAAAATTAAAAATAATACTCATGAATACAACAATAAATATTACTGTGACCACTTTAAATAGTTCTTCAGTCGCTGTTACTTTCAGAACTACATGTCTTCAACATAAGTTTATGGATTTTAATTTATCAATAGGGTTTTTTGCTGGGTTTTTCGTGTATTTTTAAATAAAAAAAAAATTAACACTATTTTTTCTAAATTAACTCTTATTTTTAATTTCTAACCCCTTATGCCCCATTAAAATTTTTTTTTCCTATTTTTATTCGAAAACTGAGATTTTTTATAAAAAATCTGTATAAATATAAAAATGGGACAACATTCGGTTTAAAAGAAAATATAAAAATCAGAGCAGAAAATAGATTTTATTTACATTTTCTCTCAAACTCAGTGTTGTTGCATTCTTCTATTTATACAGTTTTGGTGGAAAAAATCTCAGGTTTCAAATAAAAAAAAAATAATAATAAATAAGGTGGCAAAAGGCGTTAAAAGGAAAATAAGGATTAATTTTGAAAAAATATGGTTACAAATATTTTGTCATTGAATACTACATGAAAAATTAAACAAAAAATTCTATTGACAAATTAAAATACATCAAGTTTTGTAGGAGTTATACGGATTTGAAAATAACAGTGTTACCTAAAAAAATTCAACCCCTTCTCTTTTTTATAATTTTTTAAAAATGAGTTCATATTTTAAGATTTTGTTACTTTCATATAGGACAACAATTTATTAAAGTATCAAGACAATTCCGAAACATTTTATTGTGGGTGTCTTTTTTCAGAAAATGTCGCATATATAAATTATGTATTTAATACAATATACTAAGACAACTATTTTAAAAAGCAAATATAAAAATTTATTTCTTTTGTGCAAAAGGTTATGTTATTTTAAATAATGTAAAAATTTAAGTGGAAAATTAAATATAAAATTGAAGTTTAGTATTTAAACAAAAAAAAATCTATTAAACTTTAAAATTGAAAAAAATTACAACTAATTATTTAACTCTTTTTTTAAATTTAAGATTATCAATGATACCGGCAGATTGACTTAACCTCAAAAATCTTTATTATGAACATTTTTTTAAATATTACTCTAACATACAAATAACATATATAAACGTGTGTTTCCGAAACGTTCAAATTAGAATTTTATTTTCTATAAATTTTCTAAAAACATTCATGTCCCCATGGGTAAAATATGATAAAATTAACTACACTTTTTCTTACTTTGAGCGGCATAATTTCGTTTAAAGAAAAAACATTCTACGTTGGAAACTATATGTTTTTGAAACATAAACAGCGTATGACCAAAAGATAATCTCATATTTGATTATATTATGACTAAAAAAAAAAATTTGAAGAATTTCTTTTAAAATACAAAATTATTTTTTTTTATTCCCTTCAAATGATTTCTTGTCAAGACAAACTATTACCACGAAGTAATAATAAGGAGACTCAACTCTGTATTTGCCATCTGTCAAGGTTACTGTACCATAAGTGACATGTTCGCTAAAGGGAATTAACTTTCGAAAGAGAGCGCATGTGTAGTGTAATATACTTGTCTCTCTCTAACTAATTGGAAAAGTGCGACTGAGAAAGTTGACAGCATTAGACTGATGATGGCAACTTTCTCAATCTCACTTTATTCATTAGTTGGAGGGAGACACATATATGACACTGCACATGCGCTCTCGTTCGAGAGTCAATTCCATTTAACGAACAGGTCACTTATGGTCCAGTCACCCTAGCCGGATTCCGATAATATAAACCATTATAGTTGAGTCTCCTTATTATTACTTCGTGGGCCTATGTAAAGGGGCCGTCCCATGACAACGTGAAACACCGGCGTAAAAGCGGAAAGCATATAAGAACGAAAGAGATAGTATGTAAAAGTATATGTCTGTCTTTCTTTCTCTCATTATTTAACGCAAAAAGCAGCGTTCGAGCGTGTTATGATAACGTATAAGAGTAAGAGAAATAAAAAACATTCTTTATTTCTCTCACTCTTATAATAAGATCTTATAATATCTTATAATTCCCGTAACCGTCTTTTAATTGTGCGTTGAAAAACGGTTGTGGAAAACATTGACGTAACCGGTAACCGTTTTTAACGCACAATTAAAGACGGTTAAGTTGAGTTCAGAATGAGCACAAAAACGGTACGTTTTAACGTTAATGTGCTGTCATCGCCCATTTAAAATAGCACTGTGTTAAAACGTATGTACCCTCTTGGCCGTATATGCCTACACTTTTTTGTCCTTTTCTAACTCACCTGTTGTCATGGCAACACGTGCGTTAGAAAAGAACAAAAATGTGTAGACATATCTCGCCACGAATGTACCATTTTTGTAGTCATTCTGTACCCAGCTCACGGGAACTTACATATCCCGTATCCGACTTGCTTACCCGATTTAGTTGTGCTTAGGCCGATATCGATGTTAAAATATCGATAATCGTAAAAAATATATCGATAACTTTCGATATTTGATATCGACATCACATCAGCAGTGTGGATTCGCCTTTAAGATTACACTGTTCATTGGCCTCTATATGATGCTAACTATTCCAAGGTTTTAAACATTTTAAAAAGCCGGTGAATCTTAACTGATTTCCTAAAGAAATAATTTTGTTCTTTTTATTTTATTTTTGTGATTGGTCATTTAAATCAGTAAAAATGGAGATAACGAGTGAAAATTTACAAACTCTTAGTGAATATTTAAAACATTCGTTAAGTCCTGATGTGAATATTAGAAGACCAGGTAAAATAACCAAAATTGTGTTTGTTTTCGATTGCAGATTATAGTCAAAATTAGTGGGAATGCATGTTATTACTATTGTTAATTTATCTTGAAACATGGTTATACTTTATGAATTCTGTTGAAAAGAAAATAAGAAAAAATGAATTTGTAGTTTTATAAAAGGATGCAAGTATAACATAACCTTCAATTATCAAAGGAGTTTCGTATATAGCATATTTTTCAATTTTTAAAATATACACAGTTTCAGGAATCGAATTTTGTTATTATTAAAAAAGTATTTAAAAAATAATAAAAACTATCTTTAAAACAATAGTTATTTTCTTCTATAATTTTTTAACAGCAACGCGTTTAAGTATTTACACTGACTGAAAATCAGCACTGATTGAAAACTACATATCAGTAACGGTTTTTATTTTTTTTACATTTTGTACATCAGGTATTAGAACATTTAACAAAGATTTTTCTAGAAGCTTAACTTTAAAAAATCGATTTTCAGAGATATTGATGTGATGATATTTTATTCAGACACTGATTTTCATCCAAGTATTGCATCAAGCATACACTGTTAGAAAAATCCAAAGGAAATTTGATATATTTGCATATATACCGTATGTTTAATTTAAGAGGGAAAACCACATTAAGAGGCACATTTTTATGAATTTTTTTAGATTTTTTTTTAGGGAGAATTAATTAAAATTCAGTGACAGTTGGGCATCATTTTATTGTGCTTTTGAACAATCTTTGTACATTTTTTTGACCAATTTTTACGAGAAATAAGGTAGTTGTAATCGCTAATAGTTATATTTTTTCTCGACTTGCGGGACTTGTAGAGTAAGTGCATCAATTACGGCGCGTTCATAAAACATAACTATTATTACTATTATATTTAATAACTGTTGCAAAATAATTTAAAAAAATTATTTTAATCTTTTTTTGATACAATTACTAATAAAAATGCACATTAAAACAATTATTAATTTAATTATTTGAGATTAAATTTTTTCCCTCGCCGTAATTGAAACATTTTTAAGATTTCCATTGGCACCAATTTCGGCGAGCAAAGTATCTTTAAAATACACGTAATTATGGTCACCGAAACTGATACAAACGCGCTGTAATAGAAAATTATGGCATTAGTTTTAATTTCTCATATTAGTTTAAATAATCGATTTTTACAAAGTTAAAATTTTTTCTTAATATCTAAATAACATAACTTTTTAGTTTAATAAGTCTTAAATTGACTTTATGCAATAGAAATGTCGAATTTTCTATTTCAAAGGTGTTTGGACTCGAATCGCGTCGTAATTAGTGCATTTGCCCTAGTATTTCTAATTTTTATCTGAAATAAAAAATTTTTTTTTCTTACATTTTTAACTTATTTTCTAAGAATATGAACCGTAATCCAGGTGAAAATATTGAAAATTAAAAATTTTGAAGGTGTTTGAAATTTACTTCAATTTTCATCGTTTTATTTCTGTAATTGTGCAAAAAAAACCCTGAAAATGATGGTATCTTCTTAAATATCCGTTCATATATTTCATAATTTTTTTTGTCATTTTGAGAAAATTGGCGTTTAAAAAAATTATCGAAATCTTGAAATTTAAAAAAGTTAACAATAAAATATAGTTCTTACCGATTAATCTGCAATTCCAGCACCATATTCCCTGCAAAAAAAAGGCGCATTCAAAATTATAGAAATGTATTTTAAGGAGGGTGGGGGGTATGGTTAATTCGGTGTAAAAAGGCACTTTTTTAATAATTTTTTTCGCTGATATAAAGTGTGTTACTTTATTAACTTAATTTCCACATATTAATACAATATTTTAAGTATATTTTCCTAAATTCTCATTAAAAAATATTGCAAATTAAACGAGTGATGTAACTCGCAACAGAAACATCTGAATCCAAAAAAAATTTTTTTTGTTAAAGGAGATATTTTTCGAGGTAACTACAAGAGGTTTTTTTTTTGATTTTTCGATTTTTCGCAGCACTTAAAACTCAAAAACCCTATTTTTTCGCTAAAAAATAGATCTATTTTTTACTGTATAATTAATAATTATTAAAAAAAAGCTCTCGTAGTTACCTGGGGAAGTAAGTCAAGAAGTACTGAGCCAAATTTCAAAACGATTGGTTCAGTAGATTTTGAGATACCGTGAACACCGACTTAAAAAATGTCATTTTAAGAAAAACGCAATTTTAAATTTTGACAATTTTTGGAATCTGACTTCAGATTCGTAATCAGCGACCCCAAAACTAATATATACACATCAACGACATCAGAAAACATTCAGAAATGTCCGTAAATGGTTAAACACAAACTCAATTCAAAATATCCTAAAACACAGCCCGCGGAGCAACCAACACTTGAATGCTCAAATACTCATAACTTCGTCAATTTTGCTCCAATCGGTTTGAAATTTTTTTACAATATTCTTGAAATATTATACATTCAATTAAAAAAATAAAAAAAGCCTGTGAAGTTGAAACCGTCAGATCAATATTTTTTCAATTTCTATGTTGCATTTGTTTGTCCACAATAAGTCCACGTTTGTCCAACAAAAATTTTCATTTGTCTATCTTTTGTTTAAAACAAAATCAAAAAATTGTTTTTTCAGATTAAGAACCACTAAAAAATGCAAAATTAACGGTTTTAACTACACGTATCGTTTGTCCAGGGATAGTCCACATTTTTTGCAACAAATTTTTTTTTTTTTGGAAAAAAGAATACAGCCCTTGATCTCTATGATGAACTTTTAACAATACAAAAACTAAAGATTTCAACGAAATTTAAAGGATGGACAAATTAATTTAAGGGTTGGACAAACGCATTCAATGCTTGGACAAACAAAAAAAGTTGATAAAAGATAAAAAAAATCAATTTGTTTAAAAATTAGCCACTAATGAGTTAAAAGTTCGTCATAGAGATCAAGGGCTGTATACTTTTATTCAAAAAAAAAAAAAAAAAAATTTGTTGCAAAAAATGTGGACTAACCCTGGACAAACGATACGTGTAGTTAAAACCGTTAAATTTGCATTTTTTAGTGGTTTTTAATCTGAGAAAAACAATTTTTTGATTTTTTTTATAAACAAAAGGTGGACAAATGAAAATTTTTGTTGGACAAACGTGGACTTATTGTGGACAAACGAATGCAACATAGAAATTGAAAAAATATTTGAACTGGTGGTTTCAACTTCACAGAACTAAATAAAAAAAAATGCAAAAAAAAATTAAATACCATACCTCCCCTTAAGGTGGAAGTCTGGTCTAGCCGAGGGTTTCTTCTTTCAATAATATTATATATTTTTGTTACATAAAATTTTTTTACACAAAAAGGAACATATGGAGAAGAAAATTAAAAAAAATATATTTGTTATATAAATATATATATAGATATATTAGTGTCAAACCTAGGGGGTCGTTAAAATTGGCGGCAGCTCTAGAGTTCATAAAAAATGTCTAAAATAAAAATCCCAAGAATTTTTGTTTAAAATATAATCGTAAAATGCGGATGAACCTCATTTTGCAAAAAAATAAAATTTTTTGTAAAAAATGTCAAGAGAATGAAAAAAAAGTGGATGAAAAATTTTGTCATTTATTTTGCTCTAACCTTTTTTTATAATAAAAATTCATAAATATTCGAGGTTCATCCGCATATAAATTTAATTATTTTTAATTGAAGACTTATTTCTAACTTCTAAGTGTTTGTGAAAGTTTATTATAATTGTATGATAGCCCGAGTCGAAATTTGAATCCTTTTTAGCTTCTCCTGGAACCTAAATAAACCCTACTTTGGATCTTTTAGACTCCCGTAGGCCCTCCTTTGAATCCAATGGTGGAGAAAAGGGAAATTTGTGACTGGTTGAGGAAGCTAAGGAGGGTCTAGTTCGATTAAAAAATACAAAAAAATAGAAAAAAAATACTTTTTTAATTATTTTGGAGTGAAAATTCCTGAAGTGGATCACCAAAATTAAAGATGTACTGTATTTGCTTGGAAATATAGAAAATATATAAATTATCATAAGTTGAAAAACTGCCTCAAAGGATTTTTCAAAAAAATTAAATTTCTTAAAGTTATAAACAATTGAAGTTTTTTGTAGTCTTAAGTTAAAAAATAAATATCTTAGAACTAAGTGAACGGATCTTTATAAAAATTGGTATACTGACACAGAAAATGATAGTGTTTTAGTTGAAAATTAAAAATGTTTGATTTTTAATAATTGTTATTGCAAAATTAATTGTTTATTTAAAAAATAAACCATGTTCTCGTTGTCTTAGAAAGTTGATCGAAAGTTTGTTGGAAAGGGAATTTCATAAGCATTCGAAAAACGTTTTAAAATTTCGTGGATCGCAATTAGCAAAAGGTTATCGCGTTTTTTGTGCGGCGCTGCGTGTCTCTAGCGCTAGCACGCAGAATGTATTTTGCTCAAAAGTATGTAAACTTGCAAATATCTCGAAATGTACAAATTTTTATAAAAAATGTTTAAGACAAAAGTTGTTCCTAACAAAAAGATCTACATTTGTGAACCCAAAAAATTAGTTGTTTTTGTTAAATAAAATCCTCTAATTTTCAGAATCAAATTAGCTTCGAATTTCTAATATGTTACCCCAAAAACCCCATAAGTCGCGATTTTTTAAATTCACTTATTTGAAGAAAAATGTTGGGCCCAATGTCTAGGATTCTATCTAACGAAATTCCGATAAGTGAAACTTCGGTAAAATAAAGTATCGGTGAAATAAAAATTCTTCTTCTCTTTGTCTTAAAAATTTAGCTAAGAAGAATTTCTGTTAAATGACAATTCTATTAAGGGTATGTGGGAAAACGACGTTTTTTTGTGGTTTGAAACTTTCTCTGAAATAAAAAATGGTTTCAGTTTAAAATTATGGAGCAATGATTTTGTTTGGTACAAGGAATCTCGCTATTCTTCACATTTACTATAACATAACGCAAAAATAATAAAAATGAAGCAATAAATAGTAAAGTAATGTGTTTTATCATAGT